CCTGAGATGACCTGGGGTAGCACTTACTTGGGGATGGGAGAAGGGGACTCATCCTAAGATGTGTGCAGAACATCTTGTGCTGGGTCTCTGGGACTGCTCCTCAGCTAAGGGACCAATGGAGGAAAGGAGCACAGGTGGTCAGGGAACCTCTTGTGTTTTGTAAGACAATGGAAAGTTCTGGGAGTAAGAAAAACTTGTATTTTCTGCTGTGAGACAGCAGCCCCCTGATCTCTGTTCCTTGCCCTGCGCTCAGTGTCCACAGTACAAGACCCAATGTGAACTAACTATGAGGGTGGAGGGCAGAGTTGGTGGAGAACTGAGTGATGTCCATGATGGGGAGATAAGCAACCTTCTAACCTTTTCTTCTCCTCTCTGGACTCAAATCTCCCAGCCAGGTGGTCAGCATGTGATTGACACCAGCTGCAAACCCAAATATGAGTCTTGTGTTTCCAAAAGAAATAAAATAATTCCCTTTCTTTAAAAAAAAAATGTTTATTATTTTGAGAGAGAGTCAGAGAGAGAGCATGAGTGGGGGAGGGGCAGAGAGAGGGAGAAAGAAAGAATCCCAAGCAGGCTCCAAGCGCAGAGCCTGACAGGGGGCTCAACCTCAGGAACTCTGAGATCATGACCTGAGCCAAAATCAAGAGTTGGATATTCAACTGACTGAGCCACACAGATGTCCCAGATGATTCCCTTTCTGATAACCATGTTGATTTGGGGGAAGATGGTGTGGGTGGTCTGGTTCAGTCCTCCTTAAGGCTGGGATTCCTGATCAGTGGGTCCAGGAGGACAAGTCTTTCTCATTCTGGAGGGCTTGTTCTGTGGATGTGATACTTGGAAATGAAGAGTATTTTGTCCTATGTGGAAATCAGCCTGAGGACCCTCATGGAGAAGGGACATCTCTGATAACTATCAGAGAAGAAAGAGTGAAGCTCTGCAAGATTCCCCACCTGTTATCTGGAGAGGAAATATCCCCATGTCACCACTGAGCAAGACAGGGAAGCTGTTGATGCTTCCATCATGAAAATGAGCTTGGGATCTCATCTCCCCACTCTTGACCCTGAAGCTTCTCCCAAGGGCTCACTCACATCCCAGTTCCTACGAGCAGCCTTGAACCACACCCCATCCTTCAGTACTTCCCTTCCTCCCCAAATTTGCTGAGTCTGCCCATTCTCCTCCAAGACCCACAGCCCTTCCCACTTGCCTCCCTCCTTCCTCCTGCTCATGCATGTTCACTGAATCATCTGGACTTTTCTTCATAAGCTTGAATCAGATACTTTTTGTCAAACCCTCTAGTGACCCCTATACACATCCTACCATGCTGACCTCTCCTCACTCCATGGTAACATTTTATATGTATTGAGGCTTTTACTAGATTCTTGTCTCTTCTCCAGACAGCATCACCCCCCCCCCCATGACAGAGACCATCCTTGTCTTATCCATTCTCTATCCTGACCCCCTAGACCCAAGTGCAACACTGAGTACATGTTAAGTAAATAGTATGAAATGAAGGACATCTTGGTCAGCCAACTGTCCTGAGTCAGACTCAGCTGAACTCTGTGTCACTGGCTTTGCCTTGACCCATCATAGACCTGGTCCCCAGGGTAGGCTGACCCCAACATCAAGGGATTTCTGCCCAATGTGACACAGTATCACAATATGTTGTCACCACAGACTGGATTTGGGGATGTAATTTGAAAGGATGAGGACAGATTGTAGATGATACACAGTTAGACGGAGTAAGTGTCCAGAGACTGAAGGGCCCATAAGGGGAGGAGGGAGGCTGCATCCTGTTACTCACAGACCTGGAACACTGTGTCCAGATCACCCCATGTCTGGTCCCAGTGGTCAGGCTTGTCTTAGGACAGGATCTAAGAGACCTCATGGAACCATTCCTTAACAGACCTGAAGTCATAGGTTTCATCTCAGATGCCAATGAGACAAGAACCCCCAGGTTCACATTTCTACAGCTTCTGCCTGCATGTTTTGTTTGCAGGTCATACTGTTTATCTCTGTGTTGCTGCTTTTTCTCCTATACATGGTGATGTTCTTGAGATCTGACCCCAACGTCATGGATAGATTGTCTAGGGGCCTGTATATCTATATATATAGATAGAGATAGATAGATATGTCGGAGGCCGGCTCCAGCAGGTCCAGGGGTCCCTGAAGGATGGACGGTGTTGGCGAGAGAGAGAGTGAGACAGCCCCGAGATTCTTTCTGATCACCAGGCAGGCATCTCTGTCCTGTCAGTTTTGGTGTCTTTATTTAAAGTTTCAAAAACAATATGAGGTGGGGCGCCTGGGTGGCTTAGTCGGTTAAGCGTCCGACTTTTGCTTAGGTCATGATCTCGCGGTTCGTGGGTTCGAGCCCCGCGTCGGGCTCTGTGCTGACTGCCAGCTCAGAGCCTGGAGCCTGTTTCAGAGTCTGTCACTCCCTCTCTCTCTGACCCTCCCCTGCTCATGCTGTGTCTCTCTCTCTCTCTCTCCTAGAAATAAATAAAACATTAAAAAAAACAACAACAACAATATGAGGTCAGAGAAAGGAATTCTTTTACAATGGAAGGCCTTTTGCGATGACAATTGCAGTATTATCCCAGTCATAGTGAATTTACGACCAGGAAATAACAGGATGCTATATATATATATATATATATATATATATATATATATATACACACACATACATACATATATATGTATATAGGGAGAAAGAGAGAGAGAGAGAGAGAGATTTATGGTCCCTGCTTACTTTGTCCAAAACCTAACTCACTTCACTTGAGAATTCAGAGCACAAATCTTGAGACTGTCAGTAAGGTTGGTAAGTGAGAAGAGGAATTGCAGAAAGGAGAGAGTCATCAAGTATGGGAGCCCCAAATCTGAATATAAGCCAAGAATAAATCCCTGGCTGTTCCTAAGGGTAAGGGACTTTAAGAAGCCAAGATACAAACGTATGTTTTTATTTCTTCACTTGATCAGATGAGGAACACTAACAAGAAAAGGAGAAAGACCTAAAAGTGTGATTGGCTGTGGGTGCTCAAAGAGCTTGAATCTCATCTCCCTCAGTCCTGGTTTACTGGAGGGGCACTGGGACCTCTTCATTTTGCTGCTCAGTGATGTTCATCTTCATCCTTAAGTTGCAATCAAGACTTTCAGCTATAGAGTGACATGGAGACATCCAAGAGGACCAACATCCCAAAAGTATGTGGTTGTTTCAATGGGTCCAAAGTTTTGATAAAATATCTCAACTGCTGATGTGTCAGAATCACACCCTTGAAGCCACTATTGTTGCTTCTTCCAGGACAGTAGACATTGGCCTTCTATCCTGGGGTTCCAGTCCCTTAGAGAACCCAAATCAGCAAGGAGAGGTACTGTGAACACAGTGCAGGTATACCCAGTGGAGGAGTGTGGAAGAGCTGGAGAAGGATACCTGCATAAGCATGAGTTTCAGGATACCTTAACTGTGTCATTTCAGGGACAATGAGGAGGACAGAAATCCAGAATGTGGCATAGACAATCCACAACCCTGTCCCTTAGGCCTCTAACTAAGACACGCCTCCCTCAATCTCTTTCTGTACTCAATATATACATCATAAGCTCTATTTTATGGACTCTTTGTGGGTCCTGTTCTATGGAATAATCTATGATAAGTGTTGGAAAATGGGAAGAATCTGTGTCCTGAGTCCACCAAAGGCCCTGAGAAGTCTGAGTCTCAAGGAAGCCTAAGTCAGGGAACACAAGATTTCCCCAGTAGGCATGACCTCCCACCACACACACACACACACAAGACCAAGCAAACAACATCCTATTTATTGCAGGGATGCATCCGCATGCTTTCCAAGATAGGCCAAGGCAGGTATTGAAGGTGATCTATTCTATGATCAGTTTCCTCAGGCTGTCTTCCCAGGAATTATGGATACAAGTTCCATTTGTAACCCTTGGAAGTACTGTCAGAGCTTCTGAATCATATAAAGCATCCTTATAGCCCCAGTTCTCCTCCAACAGGTTACAAGTCACAGGGTCCTTCACTGGGTTGAAGTGATGAACAGAAATCCATCATCCCAACCACCCAACTCAATTCTCAGGCACCCCCCCCAGGCCTGCTGCACCCACACTCTGTACATCAGCCCTCAGGACAGCGGGTTCCCCACTTGGTCTATGTTGCTGACAGAAGCTGCATGCCTGTGCCAGATCTTGATTTGTTTCCTCTAACTTCAAATCAACTTCCTGTACCTCATCCTCCTCGGAGACAGGAAGACCCTGTGGATGCAGAACAAGATTCTCCCAGGGTTAAAAGTCCATGTACATTTTTTTAATTGTTTCTATTTTTTTCTGAAATTCCACACCATTACCCAAAGTTATTGCAGCAATTGTATTGATCAAGTCTGGGAGAATTGACATCTTCACCACATTAAATATTTTGACCCATAAGTCAGATATATCTACAAATTTATTTAAATCTTTAATCTCTCTCATGAATGGTTTATAGATTTTAGTACATAAAATTTTCAAATTCTGTCAGATTTATCCTTGTATATTTCGTATTTTGGTGCTATTGTAAATGGTATTATTTCTAACCTTTCATTTTAATGGTTGATTACTAGAATGGAGAATATAATTCCAAGCTGCATATGGGGACTGCATCCCAACCCTAAATTGAAACACTCAGACCAGAAGCATCTCTGAGTCACTCTACACCCTCAGGAGGGCATAACCTGAATCAACATTTTTGTCCTCATTCAATTACTTCATTAAGAGCTATTAATCTCTGAGAATGGGATTACTTTCAGTGCAACATTAACAGAGTGAGACTATGCTAGCTATAGATTCATCTAAATTTTGATCTGAATGACAGTACGAAATATGAATTAGGTCAAGTAGTCTGAGGAAAATCAGGTGCTGACAGAAGAAATGGCAATGGAAGCCAACCCCTGAGCTATACATGGTCAGAGCCCCAGCTGTGAGTGGTGCACCAGGTCAGGAAGGTGCAGGTGAGGTTTTTGTCACACTTCCTCATGAGTCTGGAACACAGTGTAAGACTTAGAGTTGCCTTGCCATGTGTTACAGTAGTAGTCAGCCTCGTCTTCAGGCTGCAGCCCAGAGATGATCAGAAGCCCTGCATTGGCAGAGGCATCACTGCATCCAGAGAAGTGGCTGGGGACCCCAGAGCCCTGGTGCTTATCTGAGTCTGAGTGGTAGTACAGGAGATACCGGGGAGGGCTCCCTGGCTTCTGCTGGTACCATCTTATCCAGAAATCACCAACTCTGGAGCCACTTCTCAGGGTACAGGTGAGTCTCACAGAAGTTCCCAGAGATGCAGAGAGAGAAGGGGGCTGGGTCAGCACCGGCTGGGACAGGGAACCTGCAAACACAGACACTCATGGGAAATGGGGCAGGGGACAAGGTTAAGCTTTTGATGGTCTGTGACAGTGAGGGTGACACCCACTCAAGAGCCACCATGGATCTAAGGATGTCCCTACCTGTGCAGTGAGCTAGTAGCACAAGGAGGATAGAGGTCCGGCCCATTATGGAGGCTCCACTTGTGGCTCCAGATCAGGGCTGGGATGTGCCAGGCCCCTTTTATTTTCTCCAGGGCCTGAAAAGGGAGGGACATTCACAAAAATTTGTTTTCTACCTACTAGATGAAGTCTCAGCTTTGTCCCTAAAGCAGAGGGGGCTGATTTCCACAAAGGCTCAGAGTTTGTCCCCCGGGAGGGACCAGGGAGGAAGCAGCTGCTGGGACCTTCCACAGACCTGTGAGCAGGAGACCTCTCCCAGCCAGGGGACATAGCTGCTGAGTCCCCACTAGTATACATAAGCAACAGTGTCCCAGCCATGGGGGGTTGGCGATTACACAGCAGTAGAGCCCCACTGTGTAAACACTGGGAATGCCCATAGCACCCCCTGCTGCCCACTAGTCAAACTTCAGTCTGTCACTGGAAAGGATGTCAGGGACTGACACTGACATGAGAGCCTGGCCAATGTCAGTCTACAAACATACATGTGCCACATGCTCTAATGCCCAAGGTAACTAATATTAACAAACTTCCCACCGAGGACTTTTGGATTTGTCAGAGGAGAACATGGAGTTGTATCACCACCACGCACCATGCGTTAGGCTGCAGTGGGTTGAGAAAGCAGAAGGCTGGGTTAGCACCCCTGAGCTGCTCTCTCAGCAGGCCACACGAGGGTTGAGGCTGGTTCTCTGTTTGTGGAGTGGAGGCCAGGTGTCCTACAGCAAGACAGATAAGGCATTCCACTTCCCCAGAAGAAAGATGGACTTTGGGGAGAGTAGGACATCAGTCATGATACATTGAGAGGATGAAAAACTACATGATTTGATAGTAATTTTGAGAAAATAGACTATAAGTGACAAAACAGTCAAGGAAATCTGAAGCCTAAATGTAAAAGTACTTCTCTGTCAGGGTGAGGTGCTTATATTTTCATTTCATTTGGGCATGTTAGAGTTTGAAAACAGGAGAAATGATTGATGAAATGTATATTTTTTACAAAAATGGTCCAGCTTTGTCAGAGTATAATTGACAATCACAAACTGTATGCACTTTTAAGGTACAACTTGAAGATAGGATATACATAAAAATTGTGATGTAATCACCACAATCAAGCTAATTAATATATCTATCGCCTCATATACATACCATTTCTTCTTTCCTTCCTTTCTTCTCTTTCCTTCTTTCTTTCTTTTCTTGTTTTTTGTAATAAGAACCCTTAATATCTACCCTCTCAACAAATTTGAAGTATACAATACAGTATTATTAACTAAGAAAGGTCTACCTTAGAACATATACCTCATCTCGGTGTCACTTTCAACAATGTGTCTGAAGACTACACAGCAGGTAAGGCCATGTCAGGAGGGCTTGAAGGCTGATGATACAGGCAGTCTGGGGGAGCAAGTTGAGTGTACAATGCCCAGGGTGAAGAACATAGGGAGTTGACTGTGGTCCTAGACTGAGTATGAGGGAGGGGATGATGGTGAAGTTGAGGGTACCCATTGGGTTGATTGGGTGAATTTTATTGTCATTCACTGTCATACAGGTAATGGAAAAGAGAAAGAGGAGGTCAAGGGGGCAATAAAAGAACTTTGTTTTATATTTGTAAAGCTGGGGCATGTAGGAAATATCCAGGAATTGGGAACATGGGATTTGCCAGATTAGCGATTCACATTGCAGTGATAGGAGCATCCTTACATGATCTGCACAAGTTCTGGGGAGAGTGCTAAGAATAAAATAAGACAAGAAAGGTGATAAGATGATTTTTTTAAAGTGTAAGTATGAAACACCAGGAGCTACCCCTACTCACAGAACAAAGATGAAACAAAAATCTACTTGAAATAAATAAGGAAATCTCTCAATTCTTTTATCATGTGTTTAATTATTTAAGCAATTACTTTTCAGATTAGGGCTCCTTTTAAGGTTGATTTGATTATTGTGCTGCTCTGTCTTTTTTTTTTTTTAATGTGTGCAATTGTTTTTTGTTTACTCATTCAGCTACAAAGAAAATTGTATTAACAACTGCAACTGTGATTGTGGATTATTTTTCTCATTGCTTCTGCTAAGTTATACTTCATATGGTTTAATAAAGATATGGTATTAGATTCCAGTTTTTTATATTTTTTCCTTGAATAGATTATTTCATCAGTATAGAATGTGCCCCTGTGTTTCTAGTGAATTTCTTCCCTTAAATTCCTTTGGGCTGATACTTATATAACCTCATCTTTCTGTTGTTCATTGTTGCATGGTATACTTTTTTTTTTTTTACCACTCTTTTAAATTCAGAGTATCTGTGTCTTTATTTTTAAAATGTCCCTTTTAAAAAGAAGATGTGGTGTATATATATACAATAGAGTATTACTCAGCAATAAAAAAGAATGAAATCTTGCCATTTGCAACTACGTGCCATTTAGAACTCCAGTTCTAAAATGAGCAGAAGACTTGAATAAACATTTCTTCAAAAATATATACAAATAGCCAATAAGCACATGAAAAGATGTTCAGCATCATTATTGTTGCATTAAAAGTAGAAATCAAAACCACAGTGAGGTACTACTACACACCTACAAGGATGGTTATAATTTTTTTTTTAAATGTTTTTTATTTATTTCTAGGAGAGAGAGAGAGACAGCATGAGGAGGGGAGGGTCAGAGAGAGAGGGAGTCACAGACTCTGAAACAGGCTCCAGGCTCTGAGCTGGCAGTCAGCACAGAGCCCGACGCGGGGCTCGAACCCACGAACCGCAAGATCATGACCTAAGCAAAAGTCGGACGCTTAACCGACTAAGCCACCCAGGCGCCCCAGGATGGTTATAATTTTAAAAACCGAAAATAACAAGTGTTGGTGAGCTTACATAGAAATTGGGAATCTTGTGCATTGCTGTTGGGAAAGTAAAATGATGTGTAAAAAAAGCGTGGTCGTTCCTTAAAATGTTAAATATAGAATTATCCTAAAACCTAGCGATTCTACTTCTAGGTGTGTACTCAAAAGAATTGGATGTAGGCACTCAAACCGATACTTGTATACCAATGTTCATAGCAGTAGTATTCACAATAGCTAAAAGGTGCAAATAACACAAATGTTCATTAACAGATAAATGGATAAACAAAATGTGATATATCCATGTGATGGAATATTATTCAGCTTTGCAAAAGAATGCAGTGCTGATACATGCTACAACACGGATGAATCTTGAAAACATTAAGCTAAGCAAAATAAGGCCAAAACATAAAGGCAAATATTATGGGATTCCATTTATCTGAGGTACCTAGAATAGGCTAATCCAAAGAGACAGAAAGTAAAATAGAGGTTACCAGAGGCTGGGAATAGGAAGGAACGAGTTTTATTTATTAGGTGCTAAACTTCTGTTAGGGATGATGACAAAGTTCTGAAAATGATGGTGGTGATGGTTGCACAATGTTGAGAATGTACTTAACACCACTGAATAATACACTTAAAATATGACAACAATGGGGACCCCTGGATGGCTCAGTCGATGGAGAATGTGACTCTTGATCTCAGGGTTGTGAGTTAAAGCCCCACATTTGGCATCAAGCTTACTTTTTAAAAATGGCAACAATGGCAAATTTTATATTATGTATATTTTACCACATTATATTACAAAAAAATATGGAGGGGAAAAATAAAATAATTTATTTTTAACTTTAGGCAATCAATACGGTCCTGGTTCACCAGATAAACAAAATGTAGTATATACATGCAATGGAATATTATTCAGCCTTGAGGAAGAATTAATTAGAAATACAAATCACTATCACTTGCTTTTAGGTTGATTCACTCACTGTGAAAACCGGCCCAGCCCCACAACAGCCCTGCTTGTAGAGCCACCTCTCTTTCCTGCATGGGCTACCATGATCCTAATTTGTCATATAAACCCCACTTAGATTACCTGTTCCAAAGAAATATGAAGCTTTGAAACCCATGAAATGCACAATTAACTTCATTTTCAAGGGATATAATTCCTTGATCAGGAATCATCTGTTTCATGAAAGACTCTCACCCCCTGTCCCTCTTGGCTCTTTTCTTGACCCTTCACCTTGTCCTTCTTCTTTCCTTGTCCCTTTCATCTCTCCTTAATCCTCACTCAACCTAGTCAAATTTTAAAAACCCATCTTTCCTCTCAGTGAACTCCTCACTCTTTACCTGCAATTCTTATCCCATTTCTTATCATTCACTGCTCATTTTCACTCTCCATAAGTCATAAGTCAAAATTGACTGCTGGAAGACCAGGGTCTCAGAGTTTCAAATAAGAGGTTTAAAGGTTTCAATGCCCTGGAGTTGGCTCTGATAAGTGCCCCACCTGCTCAAGGCTGATTATTAACCCAGAGCTTATATAAAAAAAGGGCCATCCCTAGGATGGGAAAGCACCATCTGCAGCCATGGCCAGCACATTAAGCCCCAGCACCGTGACTGGAACCCTGAGCCCTCCTGAAATGTCAGAGCGTATCCGAAATGCTGCTGACATCTCTGTCATTGTCATCTATTTCATGGTGGTGATGGCTGTTGGACTGTGGGTATGTAGGAGTCCAAAGGGGTGTTCAGGGTGGTTACCAAGCTTGGGGTTAAAATGTCTGAAGGAGGGAAGGGTGTGGTATGACAAAGTGACAAAGCTGAGAAAATACTAATAGCTGTCAGACTTCATTATCTTTCTCTCAGAACCATTGTCTTGTGTGTGACATAACTAATGTTTACCCAGTTGATTTATTCTCCTACCAATCCCATCATTTGAACAGAGCCAGCAGTGAGAACTTCAGCTATTTTCTGTTTGGCATGTCCAGCCAAAGACCTTATTCTTTATGCCAAAATATGTTATTTTCATTATCTCACATCTTTTATTTTCCTTTGTTTGATGTTCATTTTTTCAAATTTTTATTTAAACTCTAGTTATAGCTAACTATAACATCTAGTGTAATACTGGATTCAGGAGTAGAATTTTGCTCACTTTCGAAATGAGTCAGTTGGATGATTAATTCACTTACACTCATTCTTCTTAGTAATGAATGTAAGGTTGCAAATTTACTTCCAAGCACAGATTTAGTGATATCTCACACTGTTTTTGTAAATGAAAATAAACAGAAGTTGAGGACAGAAGTTGAGGAATATGATTTATTAAAGTCCCTCCATTTCTGTGAAACTATGATTTTGAAGTTCTTTTAAAGTTGATGCTATATCACAGATTCTAGGAAAATGTTTCTCTTTAAGAGTGCTGAAAAAGTGACAACTATGAACATTCTGACCAGAGTATCTGTAACATCTTGGGTGAATTGCAGTGGTTTGACTCTCACATGTCTTCCCTTCTGCTTAGGCAATGCTGAAGACCAACAGGGGCACTGTTGGAGGCTTCTTCTTGGCTGGTCGAGATATGACCTGGTGGCCGGTGAGTGGGTCAGATATAAATTTCCTGCCTGTGTGTACCTAGGAGTAAATAAAAAGACATTGGGAATGCTGATAGTTTTCTGATGTGCATTGGTTGCCTACTTGCTGGTGTCTCTTCCTAAATTCCTGACCCCAGGGTTCTATTCTGTCATTCCAGTAAATGATAGTATGTCACCTATTATAAGAGAAAGTATAGTGTGGCATTTGAGAAGATTCAGTTAAGCTCTGTGTCATATTTGTTTTCCCCAGTCCTCATCAAGAATATTCTACCTTGGGCTCCTTACCATCCCCAGAAGATTCCATCTTTGCTCCCAATCCTGAACTAGTGCTGCCCCTCTTGTTTAGATGAACATCCCCCTCTCTGTTCTCCTCCTTCAACACCCAGCTCAAGTCATGCTTCATCCAAGAAGTCTCACTCTGCATTCCAGCCTGACTGTCTAGTCTTTATAATCCATGCAGTTATAATAGTAGATGTGTGTGTTCTCTGTGATAATGTGTATGGTGATACCTCTTTGACTCTTGTCCAGTTCATCTCTTCCTTTCTGGGTTTTTATGTCTTTCTGGCTTTTTATGTCTGGCCTCCTTGACAAGAGTCCCATTGCACCAAAGAATGCATCTTCTCTGAATCCATACTGTGTCAGCAGTCAGTTGGGTATACAGTGGGGGCTCAGTACATTCTTCCTTCATGGGTCTGCTGACTAAATAGTATGAATGGAAGTGGAGACTGGGAAATAACCTGGCCACAATGGTTGAAGCAGACCACCTCCAAGCTTGACATAGATTTTAATTGAAGTGACCAGGGGTGCCTGGGTGGCTCAGTCGGTTAAGCGTCCGACTTCGGCTCAGGTCATGATCTCTCGGTTCATAGGTTTGAGCCCTGCATCAGGCTCTGTGCTGACAGCCAGCTCAGAGCCTGGAGTCTGCTTCAGATTCTGTGTCTCCCACTCTCTCTGACCCTCCCTTGCTCACACTGTCTCTCTCTCTCTCCCCCTCAGAAATTAAAAAAAAAAAAAATTTAAAAAAATAATTGGAGTGTCCAACCAAACATTGTCTTCTTAGGACTGTTTGTGAGAAACATTCAAGGCTCAACCAAGCCCATAGCTAAAAATGAGTTCATTTCCAACCCCTGGCTCCAAACGTCTGAATAGAAAAGATGGCTGAAAGGATGGAAATGGAAGAATGGGCATTGCAGTAGCCCTACACCCCAATTGTGCCTTGTAAGAACAAGAGCTTATCCCTGCCTACTCAAGAAATTTCTCTTGAAATTTTTTCACTTTGAGACTTAAGAGCAGTTGACAATGTGATAGAAAAGGAGGTGGATGAGAAAAGAGTCCTAGGGCCAAAATTATGAATAGGAACTTCTTCCTACCCAACTTTGCAGTCCTTGAGGAAGACTGAAGGGGACGACGGGAGCTCTGGAAGTTCCTGGCCAAGGACAGGCTCAACCCAGAGCCCCCAGGTAGATAAATTAATGTTCCCCTAAGGTAGGCATCAGCAAGCTTCTCCATAAAGTGCCAGACTGTAACTTTTAATTTATGATCCATACAGTCCATTGCAACCATACAACTCTGCAGTTGTAGCACAGAAGAAGCCATAGTGAATATCTAAAACCAACAAGCATAATTGTTATCCAATAAAACTATTTGTGAACACTGAAACTTGAATTTCATATAATTTCACATATCACAAAATATTAGTCTTCCTTATATTTTTTAACCATTCAAAAATATTTTCAAAAATTCTTAGCTTACCAACCACACAAAAACTAGTGACTGGTTGGATTTAGCCCACAGGACTCCTACCTTAAAATGGTGTCATGGAAATATCTGTGGGGAGCCTGGGTGACTCAGTTGGTTAAGCATCCGATTTCAGCTCAGGTCATGATCTCTCAGTTCATGAGTTCGAGCCCCGAGTCAGGCTCTGTGCTGACAGCTCAGAGCCTGTAGTCTCTTTTGGATTCTGTGTCTCCCTCTCTCTCTCCCCCTCCCCTGCTCATGCTCCCTCCCTACTCTCTCTCTCTCTCTCTCTGAAAAGAAATAAACATCAAAAAATTTTTTAAAAAGAAGTATCTCAACATTTACTTGCTTTAAAGAAATCTGATTTGGGTCTTTTAACTCTGATCCTAGTCTGTTCCCTTGGATTGCAGATGGGTGCCTCTCTCTTCGCCAGTAACATTGGCAGTGGCCACTTTGTGGGGCTGGCAGGGACGGGAGCAGCTTCGGGAATCGCCACTGCAACATTTGAATGGAATGTAAGTGACATCATAGGCTCTTTCCTTTAAATCCAAACTCTGTTCCGGTATGTTCTTCTGGGAGTCTGTATAAGGTAAATCCTTCTTTGATTGATTTCTATTTTTCCTTCTAACTGATCCCTTGTTTGAAACTCAGAGCCTTCCCTGTGTGGCCCCATTCTGCATGCTTGGGCCATTCCAGTCTCACTCCCTATTTCTGAGATTTTGCTCAAACAGTATTCCCAGCAGGAATGTCACTTCTATATTATTCAATATCTCCTTGGTCACTTTAGCTCTCACTTGTCTCTTTCTTCCCTTAGCTATTACACTATGTGTCCGACTCTGAGTTAGATGTAGAGAATAAAAACATGTAAAAGCAATGATCCCTTCTTTTGAGAAGCTTATATCCCATTGGTAGAGACAGATACACATTCACTATGGTGTAGGAAGTACAAGGAGAGCAGCACACATGGAGTACTGGGAGAACTCACACGGGCCAGGGGGGGAGGGGGGGCATCTATCCTAAATGAAGGATGAGGCTTGGCACATGTCATGGGAGATTCCTGGAGCTGGTGCTCATCTATTTGGGTAGATGAATAGGAATTGACCAAATGAGACTTGGCTAATGAAGTGAGAGCAGAGTAAGGAGTGAATGGTTTAAAGAGAGTAGATAGAATATACAAGACTTTGTGATTTAGTTCCTAATTGTCCTACTGCCATTTCACCAGTAGAAGTTGTGCCCCTGAATTAGACACTAAGTCTTTTAAAGACAAGGACCAATTCCTCTCATATCATTATATCACCCCATCATCTAGCACTTGGCTGGACACATGCATTAATATTTATTGAGTTGCCTGAGCTTTTTCTGTTCTTATATCATTTCTTGTGTTGGAAGTATGTATTATGCATTTCAGTCAGAGGAAGATGCTTATGTGGAATAAAGTCAGATCACAGTGAACGTATAAACAGACCATGCCTGGATGGACTCAGGAAATGACCTTGAGTCATCCAAAAATACCTGTACCCATCCCTTGTTGAAGATTTTCCCCTTAGCTTTGCTTTAGTAGTATCATGGACTCCAGAATGAACCCAGTCTCCAGACATGCCCTATGGCCCATGTTTTGTTTTGATAGTGCCATAAACTGAACAACATGCTCTATGGCCCCAGTGGGTGTGATGATCAGGTTGCCAAGGGTCTAACTCTTTTAGCTTGTGACCTTGGGCTCTCTTAATCTCTGTGAGGCTCAGGTTCCCCCTCCATAAAACAGGAATAATGATTATCTTATCTGCCTCAACTGGTTGTTATGAGGAGAACACAAATGATATATGTGAAAATTCCGTATATATTAATATTAATGCAAGATTATACTATTATCATTATTATATGTAGCAAAACTTCAGAGATAGTGGGAATATTCTTCTATCACTAAATTGCTTTCTCATCGCTTTGTCACTCTGTATATAATTTCTCCCATTTAAGAATTATTCCTGTTGGGGTTGCCTGGGTGACTCAGTTAGTTGAGCATCTGACTCTTGATTTCAGCTCAGGTCATGATCCTAGGGCCATGGGATCAAGCCTCACATTGGGCTCCAAGCTAAGCATGGAGCCTGCTTAAAATTCTCTCTCTCCCTCTCCCTCTCTACCTCTCTCCTCCACTCTCTCTCTCTCTCTCTCTCCCTCTCCCACCCTGCCTCTCTCCCCCACTCTGTCTCTCTCTAAATAATAATAATAATAATAATAATAATAATAATAAATTTAAATAAAATAAAAACTATTTTTTAAAAAGAATTACTCATATTGGCAAAAATAGTATGAACTTCCTGGGTCCAGCTGCACTCAGATCTCTTATCTTCTGTATGTGAATCACAGAAATAGAGGGAAAGAATCTGTAGCTGTCTTGGGCTCATAATTGGTTTAGTGAGACAGGATCAATGCAAACTTATTTTATTTTCAGATTTAGAGGTCATGAAGTGATAAGTCCCATGAGCCAAGCCCCTCAAACTTCACACTCTTTTCTGGGATTTTGTAGGCTTTGCTGCTGTTGCTCGTTCTAGGATGGTTCTTTGTTCCCATATACATCAAGGCAGGGGTGAGTATATGCAGGTGTTCTCAGTACATCTGTCAGGCATTCATTTATTCACTCATTCTTTCTGCTCAGTCATGAAACTGGGTAATATCACTTGTCCCAAGATCTCTAGGCTTAAATTTACATAAATCCACTAAATGTTATCAGATTGTTCTTGAAAATGGCTGCAGTCATCTGCCCTCTTGCCTATGACTATTGTGAAGGTTCCCATTTTTCCACATCCTCACCAACACATGACATTTTTGTACATTCTAGTTTTTGCCGTTTTGAGATTTGTAGTTTCTTTCTTTAATTAGGAGTGGGATATACCACATCTATGTGAGTTCCCCTTCAGCCCAAGTATCACCAACCACTGCTCTGCCTCTCCGAGCCTACCTCCCACATTTATTCTTCTGCTGGTGGTTTTCAGACCATGGGGTGCTTTTTCCTGAAATAATTCCTGGGATGAAGGTGTTCAGGGGGCAAGCCTTCTGGCTCATACCTCTGCAGGTCACCATATATTCTCCCTTTGCTCATCCTGGGTCCCTTCTAGCACCAGGCTTGAACAATTCCTGTTGCAGGATGCTCTTCCTTAGTGCAAGGACCAATGCCACAGAACTCATTCACATGTTTTTGGATGTGGTTTACCATATTTAAGGGGCTTCCACACAGTTTCTGAGCCACTAAGAGTTACCCTTTTTGCCTTTGTTATTATATAATCATTTATTTAACATTATTTTATATTGGGGAAGATTAAATCATAAGTTTAATCTGCTACGAAAAAAACTAGAAAGCTGCACTTTTTATACTACACATCACATAGTTAAGCTCATATTTCAGTAATGATAACCTCAGATTTTTTTTTCTAAGTAGAGATTTAATATAACTCTCTTCTTCTCAATAAACATAATCATATAAATATATACCCAAATAGAGGTGGATTGGAGATGGGCTAGATGGGCGATGGGTGGTAAAGAGGGTACTTGTGATGAACAATGGGTGTTGTATGTAAGGAATAGAATCACTGAATTCTATTCCTGAAACCAATATTGCACCGTATGTTAACTAAAACTTAAATTTAAAAAATATATATGTATGCATATATATATATATACCCAAATATATATTTGCAATTTGTTTCATTATCAATTTATTATGTGACCATTAATTGTGGTTCATTATTTTTAAGTAATATTATTTTTATTGGCTTGCAACATTATTAGTGAAAATAATAAAAATTTTTGTTGAACATCTACCATGCATTTGGTTGGTGGTGTGGTGTTTTACACTTACCTTCATATTAAATCCCCACTTTATAGATGAGAAAAAAGAAGTCCAGAGAAACTGTCAATTTCCAAATGTCATACTTGTAGTAAATGTCAGATCTGGGAATGAATCCTAAGATTGTCTGATTCCAATGCCTGTGTTTATTCCAAGCTTGCTGCTCTCCCAGGAGACTGTGTTTTTCTCACCTGTGTATTCCTAAGGTACACAGTTCCACAGTTACAGATGTGCAGGTGCACATAAGTGCTTAGTAAGTGTTGAATAATCTGAATGTGCTGGGCTCTGAAGGTGTATCCCTGTTGATGTCTGTCTCTGCAGGTAATGACTATGCCAGAATATCTGAGGAAGAGGTTTGGTGGGAAACGACTCCAGATCTACCTCTCTGTCCTCTCCCTCTTCATCTGTGTGGCTTTGAGAATCTCGGTGAGTTCAGTGCTCCTGGCATTTTCACTTCTTGCAATTACCTTGGTGAGGATAGAATACTAGAATCAGAGAAATGGGATTATAGACTACTGACAGCCCTGACAGGTATGCCTATATGGATATCTTAAACTACCTAGGGCCTTTCTACTAAGTGATTTTAGAAACGCTGAATTTAATTACAAGTCATGAGAGGCTCCAGAGTGTAAACCCACCTTTTCATTATGAATATGAAAAAACAATGTACAGGAGGAACAAAATGTTTCATGCAAGTAACACAGTTATTTAGTAGTAGAAAAGAGGATTCTCTAGTCCCCTGCCTTTTCATACACAATAACCTCTTTTACATTTATGTTTTCATTTCATTGATTATTTGGCACATGAACCAGAAGGAAACTGCTTTCTGTTATTATAATAACTTCTTAAATTTACTGTTTTCTCTAAGACTGCCTTGTAGCACAGATGTCACAAATAAGTGTTAGAAGAATTCTAAAGTTTTTAGAAAGTTAAATTCCTTGCAGAAAATCATTGAGGAGAAAAGAAAAAAATATGAAGATTCAGCAGCAACATATGTAGAAAACAAAGAAAGAGTAACATTTGATCCTCATGTATTGATGACTAATGAAATCATTTTCTCTAAGTTTATAGTCTAGGCAGGTCATGAGAGAAGACGCTGAAGTGCATTTTTGTTTTTCTGTTGAGTCATTCTTGTAAGTAAACCAGCTTCTCTGATTAGATGGCATGAGCTTCTTAATGCAACGTGAGAATTTTCCAGTGCTCACTGTATATTGTTGAATATCTGTACTAGGGGGTAATAAAGATTCTTGTGCACCAGGAGTTCACTATATGGCTAAGAATATAAGAATTATAGGGACATCTGGATGGCTCAGTCAGTTAAGTGACTGACTTTTTATCTCAGCTCATGTATTGATCTCAGAACTGTAAGTTCAGACCCCACATTGGGCTCCATACTGGGCATGAAACCCACTTAAAAAAAAAATATATATATATATATATATGAATTATACACATGAAATCATTAGCACTTTATGACAATATGTGAAAATATATTAAGATGTGAACTGGAAGAGACTATGTGGACAAGCATAGGAGACATTCTAGGGACACCCAGGAAAGGGAGTGGTCCCTGCTTGGTGGAAATGGAGACATGGTGGGAGTGGTGGTGAGTGCTTAAACAAGTGCTCAAGATAAGAAACTTAAGAAGGCCAAGCAAAGCAGAGGAGTCTTTATGTTCCACAAGTGAGTGGGATTCAATGATCTCCCATTTTTCCTCTGGTTCTGACATTTATAGCTTTGTGGTCCTAAAAAATGTGAAAAAGGTGCTGGAGCAAAATGACAGCAGCCAAAGGGACCCTGAGGAATGCAATCTCCTGAAGTGGAAGGTTCCTGGTGGCAGGGATTGGATGAATTCTTGGGGAGTTGGTTGGAGGAGCAGGAAAGATGAAGAGCATGTGTGTAACTTGACTGGAAAGACACAGTGGCAGCTGTCCATTCTTACTTACAAGGCTATGTTTCAAGTGATATTAATAGTGATTAATCTTAGACATGACATTTTATGTATTAATACACTTTGATAGTAGAGCCTGTCCTAGTTATCCATTAAACAGCTCATTATGAGGAGTTAGGACAGGGTAGCTTTCAGTCTCCCTTGTGTCAGGTTTGAAAGAAATCATCTTATTCCCTGGTTCTCAACCTCCAATAATACCTATATTGAGAATCACTGAAGACATGATGCATCAATTTCTTTGCCTGTCTCACCTTTCATTGAACTCCCCTAGAAAAACTCCAAACCTAGTTTAATCCAGCTTCCCACTTACTCTGTGCATGCACCCAGAGATTTTACTCCTATGTCTCTAATTAACATGCTTATGTGATGTTTCTAGGGTTTTGGTTTGGCTTGGTGTTTTTGATATGGAATCTGGGAGGATCAGAGTTGAAGGGACAGATCCAAGTGGGGCTAGCTCAAGTTTGTGTTGAAGAAAGATCCAGGAGGCTGGGAAGCACACTTTGGGGGCACAGGGATTCAGGTAGTGCAAGGTGCACATGATCTTGCATCTTAAGGTGTCTTTGCAGGAACCTCAGAGGAACCTTCTAACCTCTAAACCTCAACCAATAATCCTTTTATCTGTATTTCTTTATGATTTTTCTCTGGTGTTCTCAAGAACTATCCCAAATGATCCACAACTTTTTCTTTTTCTTTTTTAGCTACTAGACTTCTGTCTCTTATCAGAAAGCCTCATCTCCCTTTTTATCTAAAATTTAAGCAAGACCCACTCATCCCCCACTTAAGAAGTCTACATTTGCCTCATTCTTTCCTTCATTTCACCAGTCTGAAGATGAAGTCTTCCTTTTTGTTAAATGCCAGCCCCTCAATCTATGCTTACTCTTGATCCCATCTCTTCTCAATGTTTCTGGCATTTGCTTTATAATTACCCCCACTATCATATTTTCCTCTTATTTTCTACTACTCTAAATATGTTCAAGTATCTTTCTCCTTAACAGAGACCATTGCTTTACTGTGTCTCATATCTACTATTCTACTTTTTTCCTAATGTTTATTTATTTTTGAGAGACAGAGGGCAAGCAGGGGAGTGGCAAAAGAGAGGAAGACACAGAATCTGTAGCAGGCTCCAGGCTCTGAGCTATCAGCACAGAGCCTGACATGAAACTTGAACACACAGACTGTGAGATTATGACCTGGGCTGAAGCTGGACGCTTAACTGACTGAGCCACCCAGGAGCCACCCAGGCACCCCCTACTACTCTACCTTTTATCATTGCTTCCCTGCTGACAATCATGAAATAGTAGTCTATGCAAGCTATAGCATAGACATTTCTTACTTTCTGTTCACTCACCCATTGTTCCTATCTATGATCAGTCTAAGGAGTCCTATGTATGACTTGGCTTCCAAGGAGTTCATAATTGTATCACAGAGATGCCATGCATGGATACAACAAATATTAGTGGGAGATTATCAGTGAAGAGCTAAACGATGCAGGGCATGTTTCTTTCCCATCCTGACTATTCTTTTTTTAGTCAGACATATTTTCTGGAGCCATATTCATCAAGCTGGCCTTAGGATTGGACCTTTACCTGGCGATCTTCATCCTCTTGGCTATCACTGCTATTTACTCGATCACAGGTGAGTTTGTTGTCTGTTTAGCTCAGTCATGTTATCTTCTGCTGATCTTATACCAAGCTGCAATTAGCAACTCAGTATTAGCCTTGTCACCACCAAGGTTATAGCTATCCTTTTGTTTCCACTATGAGAGCCAGGCAGAAGCCTAGAAACACAATTAGAACAAAGCAAACAGAATCCTCAGTATTATAGGGTGACAGAATGGGTTTAAAAAAAAAAGACAAGACTGATTTATATGCTGCCTGAAAGAGACTCATTTCAGTCTTAAGGACATCAGCAGATTGAAAGTGAAGAAATAAAGAAATATTCATCATGGAAATGAATGTCAAAAGAAACTCAGAGTAGCAATACTTATATTGGACAAAATAGATCTTAAAACAAAGACTATAAAATGAAGCAAAAAAAGAGACTATATAATAATAAAGGACACAATCCAACAAGAGGAGACAATAATTGTAAATATTTGTGCACCCAACATGAAAGCACCCAAACATATAAAACATTTAAAAACAGACATTAGGGAACTAAACTAATCCACTGTAATACAATAATAGTGGAGACTTTAACACCCCACTTACATTGATGGACAGATCATCTAAACAGAAGAACAATAAGGAAACAGTGACTTTGAATGATGCACTGGACCAAATGAATTTAACAAATATATTCAGAACTAAAACATCCTAAAACAGTAGAATATGCCTTCTTTTCAAGTGTACATGGAAAATTCTGCAAAATGGATCATATACTAAGTCATAAATCAGGCCTCAACAAATACAAAAAGATTGAAATAATACCATGCATCTTTTCTGACGACAACACTATGAAACCAGAACTCAACCACAAGAACATATTTGGAAAGACCACAAATACATGGGGGTTAAACAATATCCGACTAAACAGTGAATGGGTCAACTAAGAAATCAAGAATAATTTAAAAAAAGGGGGGGTGGCTGGGTGGCTCCGTTGATTAAGTGTTCAACTTCGCTCAGGTCATTATCTCACAGTTCAATGGTTCAAACCCCGTGTTGTGCTCTGTGCTGAAAGCTCAGAGCCTGAAGCCTGCTTCAAATTCTGTGTCTCCTCTCTCTGCCCCTTCCCCACTTGCTCTCTCCCTCTCTCTCTGTCAAAAATAAATAAAACATTAAATTAAAAAAATACGTGTAAACAAATGGCAATGAAAACATGACAGCTGAACCCTTTGATATGCAGGAAAAGCAGCTCTAAGAGGGAAGTAAATAACAGTATAGGCCTACCTCAAGAAGCAAGAAAAAATCTCAAACAACCTAACCTTACATCTAAATGACCTACAAAAAGAACAACAAACAAAACCCAAAAACAGTAGAAGGAAGGAAATAGTAAAGATTGTAAGAGAAATAAATTATTAAAAAAATAAAACACCTCAAAGAAACAAGGATATGGTTCTCTGAAAAGATTAACCAAATAGATCAACCTCTAGCCAGACTCATGAGAGAGAGAAAGAGACAGAGAGACAGAGAGAGGGAGAGAGGGCTCAAATAAACAAAATCACAAACAAAAAAGGAAAAATTAAAACCAAGACCACAGAAATACAAACAATTACAAGACAACATTATGAAAAACTGTATGCCAACAAATTAGACAACTTAGAAGAAATGGGTAAATTCCTAGAAACATATAAACAACCAAAACTGAAGCTGAAATAAGTAAAAAATTTGAACAGACTAATTACCAGCTATAAAATTGAATCAGTAATCAAAAAACTCCCAACAAACAAAAGTCCAGAACTAGATGATTCCACAGGCAAAATCTACAAAACATTTAAGTAACAGTTAATAACTGTTCTTCCAAAACTATTTCAAAGAATAAAAGAAGGAAAACTTCCAAGCTCATCCTATGAGACCAGTATCATCCTGACATCAAAACCAGATAAAGACATTACAGAAAACAAAAACAAAAGAAACAAAAATTTAGGCCAATATATCTGATTAATATAGATGCAAAAATCCTCAACAAAATACAAGCAAACCGAATCCAACAATATATTTTTAAAAAATCATTCACAAGGATTAAGTGGGATTTATTCCTGGGTTGCAGGTATAGTTCAATATTTGCAAATCAATCAACATGATACATCACATCAATAAAAGAAAGGATTAAAACCATGTGGTCATTTTAGTGGATGCAGAAAAAGCATTTTATAAAGTACAACATCCATTCGCGATGAAAACTCTCAACAAAGTAGGTTTAGAGGGAACATACTTCAACATAATAAATGCCATATGTGAAAAAACCCACAGCAAATATCAGACTCAATGAAGAAAAATTGAGAGCTTTCCCTCCAAGCTCAGGAACAAGACAAAGATGTCCACTCTCACCACTTTTATTCAACATAGTACTGGAAGTCCTAGCTACAACAATCAGACATTGAAAAAATATAAAAGACACACACGTCGGTAAGGAAGAAATAAAATTTTTACTATTTGCAGATGACATGATAGTGTATATAAAAAAAACCCTAAAAACTACATTAAAAAAAACTACTAGAACTGATAAGCAAATTCAGTAAAGACACAGGATGCAAAATTAATGTATGAAAATTTGTTTTATTTCTATACACTAGTAAGCATCAGAAAGAGAAATTAGGGAATGAATCCCATTTATAATTGCACCAAAAATAACAAGATACCTAGGAATAAATATAGCCAAAGGGGTGAAAGACCTATAATATGAAAACTATAAACCATTGATGAAAAAAATGGAAGACAACACAAAGAAGTGGAAAGACATTCTACACTCATAGATTGGAAGAATGAAATTGTTAAAATGGCTATACTACTGAAAGAAATTTACAAATTTAATGTAATCTCTATAAAATACCAAAAGCATTTCTCACAGGACAACAACAAACAACCCTAAAATTTGTATGAAACCACAAAGGACCTCAAATAGCCAAAGGAATTTTTAAAAAGAAAAAGCAAAGCTGGAGAAATCACAATTCTGGACTTCAAGTTATATTACAAAGCTGTAGTCATCAAGACAATCTGGTACAGGCACAAAAATAGATACATAGATCAATAGAATAGAAAACCCAGAAATAAACCCACAATTATATGATCATTTAATCTTTGATAAAGCAGGAAAGAATATCCAAATAGAAAAAGACAGTCTTTTCAGCCAATGGTGTTGGGAAAACTGGATGGCAAACATACAGAAGAATGAAACTGGACCACGTTCTTATACCATACACACACACACACAAAAATTCAAAATGGGTGAAAGACCTAAATGTGAGACTGGAAACAATAAAAATACTTAAAGAGAGCATAGGCAGTTATTTCTCTGACATTGGCCATAGCATCTGCTTTCTAGATATGTCTCCTGAGGCAATGTAAATAAAAGCAAAAATAAACTATTGGGGGTTCATCAAAATAAAAAGCTTCTGCACAGCAAAGGAAACAACTAACAAAACTAAAAGGCAACTTAACAACTGGGAAAAAATATCTATAAATGATATATCCTATAAAAGGTTGGTGTACAACATATATAAGAATTTATACAATTCAACGTCAAAAAACCCCCCACAAATAATCCAATTTAAAAATGGGCATAAGAGGGGCGCCTGGGTGGCTTAGTCGGTTAAGCGTCCGACTTTTGCTTAGGTCATGATCTCGCAGTTCGTGGGTTCGAGCCTCGCATCGGGCTCTGTGCTGACTGCCAGCTCAGAGCCTGGAGCCTGTTTCAGAGTCTGTGACTCCCTCTCTCTCTGACCCTCCCCTGCTCACGCTGTCTCTCTCTCTCTCCCCTAGAAATAAATAAAACATTAAAAAAATTAAAAATGGGCATAAGAAAATGACATATCAGATAAAGGGCTAGTATCCAAAATCTATAAGGAACTCACCAAACTCCACACCTGAAAAAAACAATCCAGTGAAGAAATGGGCAGAAGACATGAACAGACACTTTTCCAAAGAAGACACCCAGATGGCCAACAGACACATGAAACAATGCTCAGCATCCCTCCTCATCAGGGAAATACAAATCAAAACCACATTGAGATACCACCTCATGCCAGTCAGAGTGGCTACAATGAGCAAATCAGAGGACTCTAGATGCTGGCGAGGATGTGGAGAAACGGGCACCCTCCTACACTGTTGGTGGGAATGTAAACTGGTGCAGCCCCTCCGGAAAACAGTATGGAGGTTCCTCAAAAAATCAACAGAACTCCCCTATGACCCAGAAATAGCACTGCTAGCAATTTACCCAAGGGATGCAGGAGTGCTGATGTATAGGGGCCCATGTATCCCAATGTTCATAGCAGCACTCTCCACAATAGCCAAAACATGGAAAGAGCCTAAGTGTCCATCAACGGAAGAATGGATCAAGAAGATGTGGTTTATCTATACTATGGAATACTACATGGCAATGATAAAGAATGAAATCTGGCCATGTGTAGCAACATGGATGGACCTTGAGGGTGTTATGCTGAGCAAAATAAGTCAGGCAGAGAAGGACAAATACAATATGTTTGCACATATACAAGGATTAGGAGGAACTTAATGGAGGACCATGAGGGAGAAGAAGGGGAAAAATAGCTGGGGAGAGGGAGGGAGGCAAACCATGAGAGACTCTTGAATGCCAAGAACAAACTGAGGGCAGATAGGGTGGGGGGAGCTGAAGGGGGGTGATAGACATGGAGGAGGGCACTTGTGGGGATGAACACTGGGTGTTATATGGAAACCAACTTGACAGTAAACTATTTAAAAAAAATAAATAAAATGAAAAAGAAAAAAGATAAAATAAAAAATAAAAATTGGTATAACATGAACAGACATTTCTCCAAAGAAGACACACAGATGACCAACAGACACATGAAAAGATGTTCACCATCACTCATCATTAGGAAAATTCAAATCAAATTTACAATGAGATTGACCTCACACCTGTCAGAATGGCTAAAATCAACAACACAAGAAACAACAAGTGTTAGGACATGAAGAAAAAGGAACGCTTGTGCACTGTTTGTGGTAATGCAAACTAATGCAGCCACTATGGAAAACAGTATGTGGTTTCCCCAAAAAGTTAAAAATAACACTATCCTATGATACAGTAATCACACTGGGTATTTACTCAAAAAAGAAAAAAACAATAACTAATTCAAAGGGATACATGCATCCATATGTTTATAGCGGCATATTTTTTTTTAAATTTCAATATATATTTATGAGAGACAGAGAATGAGCAGGGGAGGGGCAGAGAGAGAGGGAGACACAGACTCCAAAGCAGGCTCCAGGCTCTGAGCTGTCAGCACAGAGCCCAACGCAGGGCTCAAACCCATGAACCATGAGATCATGACCTAAGCCAAAGTTGGGCGCTTAACCAACAGCCACCCAGGCACCCCAACAGCATTATTTACAATAGTCAAATTATGGAAGCATCCCAAGTGTCCATTGAAAGATGAATGGATAAAGATTATGTGCTATATATATCTTCATATATATGTACATATATATATGAATATTATTCAGCCATAAAAAAGAATGAAATCTTGCCATTTGAGGCAACATGGATGAAGCTAGGGAGTATAATGCTAAGTGAAATAAGTCAGAAAAGACAAATACCATATTATTTCACTCATATGTGGAACTTAAAAACAAAACAAATAAGCAAAGAAAAAAGAGAGAGAGAGAGAGAAACTAAGAAACAGCTTCTTAACTGTAGAACAAATTGATGGTTACCAAGAAGTGAAGTGTGTTGGGGAATGTGTGAAATAGGTAGTGGGTCTTAAGGAGTGCACTCATTGTGATGAGCACTGGGTGATGTATGGAATTAATGATATATTGTGCAACTGAAACTAATATAACACTATATATTAACTATATTGAAATTAAAACTTTTTAAGTTAATTACTAAATTGAGAAGGAAACATTTGACTCTGTGTATCCAGAACATTTCCATTAAAAAAAAAATCCTCAGTATTGGGTGTGAGCACCTTGACTGAAGATAATGATGTGGTAGTTGGGGAAATGGTGATTTGTCTCAGCTATTTGTTCTGTGCCCAGATTGGCATTTGGAATCCAGCATAGCATACACATGGAAAGTAAAAATGAAATAACAACTCACACATGTGATTGATCAATCCAAGGCATGGCCCAAATGAGTACAAGATGCCTAGGCTCTGAATTAGGAGAGGAGAATTGGAGCAATGAGTTGGTTGTTGGGAAAAAGTGTGTGGAAATAGTTCAAGCAGGCTCTCATGGGCCACAGCCATTGCTCTAGAGTCCAACACATACTAACTTATGAAAATGAAACTATACCAGTTCACTTGGAAAAATAAAGAAAAATAACAGCTGGAATAATCAAGATAGTTCTAGAGCAATTTTCATACATATAGCATATGTTTCAAAATAAGTGAAAGATGAAGACATAAGTGTTCCATTTACAAGATCGGTCTTGTTTTCCTATGATGCTCTTATAAGGAGATAGCTTGTTGACTGAGAGTCTAGCAAGTCTAGAGTTGAAAAAGTGGTTGTTTGTATAACACTGAAGCAAAAGTCAAGTAACAACTATATCTGGCATTCAACTTATGAAGCAATTATATGTTCCAGTACTAGAGCAAAAATGGCTTTGCCTGATTTTTTTAAAACCAATATACTGTGTGGGGAGCCTGGGTGGCTTAGTTGGTTAAGCGTCCGACTTTGGCTCAGGTCATGATCTCGAGGTTCGTGGGTTCGAGCCCCACGTTGGGCTCTGTGCTGACAACTAGCTCAGAGCCTGGAGCCTGTTACAGATTCTGTGTCTCCCTCTCTCTGACCCTCCCCTGCTCGCTCGCTCTCTCTCAGAAATAAATAAAACATTTTAAAAAAGAACCAATATACTGTGCTAAATGGAATGAATTAAGGAATAGTTAAGGGAAAAACTTTCATAATAATAAAGTTTTGCCTTCCCCTTTTAAAAATTTTATTTAAATCCAAGTTAGTGTATAGTGCAATAATGATTTTAGGAGTAGAATTTAGTGATTCATCACTTACATATAATACCCAGTGCTCATCCCAGCAAGTGCCCTCCTTAATGCCCATCACTGTTTAGCCCACCCCCCCATCTACCTTTCCTCCAGCAACCTCAGTTTGTTCTCTGCATTTAAGAGTCTCTTATGGTTTGCCTCCCTCTCTGTCTATATATTATTTTATTTTTCCTTCCCTTCCACTATGTTCATCTGTTTTCTTTCTTAAATTCCACATATGAGTGAAATCATATGGTATTTGTCTTTGACTAACTTACTTCATTTAGCATAATATATTCTAGTTCCAGAAGTTCTGCCTTTTCTGCTGTTTAATATTCAAAAGCTCACATGAGGGTGGAATTCCAGTATAACTCACAGAAACTTTAAGTTAAAACAAGGCAAAGGGAGACAAGAGAGTTAATGTGGTGCATATATACTAAGGAGATAATGATGCCAAGAGAAGCTTGTGGCCCAGCCAAGAGCCTTTCATATATTCTCTGCTGAGTTCCTAAGGTTTGGTTTGAGGAGAATCTAAAGGTAAAGGCAAAGAGATGAGGGCACAAGGAGAAAATATCCTGATTCTCTTCTCTCTTTCCACAGGGGGCTTGGCCTCAGTTATTTACACAGACACCCTCCAAACCATCATCATGCTGATAGGTTCCTTTATTCTCATGGGATATGGTAAGTGATGACAGTGGGAACAGTGCACTTGGGCTGGAAATCATGAGACTTGTATCTGCTCAGTCCATCTGCTCCTTATTGCTGCCTCCCTGTTCTACCTAGTCACGCTTTTCAACATATATATAATTTACATCATTGAAACATCTGCCTTTTTTCTTTTGTACTATCTCAGTATGAGATAATGAGGGGGGAAGATTTTTACTTCCTTTAAAAAATTATTACTCAGTTTTAATCTTAATATGTTTGTGTTTGGAATAGACAAAATGAGTTTCACTGGGTTGATAATTTTACACAAATATTGGTGCATTGGATTCAATGCACATAAACCATTTTTGTAGAATCTTCAAAAAATGAAGTTTTATGAACAGTTTAAGACAACTATTAACTTCACTGTTTCAGTGAAGTTTCAGATGACTGTTTCAGATGGAAATATTAAAGTATGTTACCCCTTCTATTGTTAGAATATACAAACACAGTTTGAATTTTCCTGATTAGTATCAGTTCTTTCTCTTAAGTCATGCAACAAACACTACTGAAGAATTTGATTTATAGCTTGCCTATTTTTATTTTCTATTATTATGCTATTTATTTAGCTTTGTACAGGAAATCCATGCATACAGTAAAAAGGATATAAGATGAAAATAAGTGTCTTTTCATCTCTCCCCTGTCCTACAGTCACCATATTCCACCCACTCAAGCTGTACTGAATACAATTGTGAATATGCATGAACCTAATCACATAGCCTGAAGATAACATGAAGCAAAAACTGATAGAACTGCAAAGACAAGAAATGCACAAAAAGAGTTGGGGATTTTGACACAAAATGAATGTGATTGGTCGCATATGGCTATTTAACTTTAAAAAACAATAAAAAATAAATTAATCAAAATTTAAAATTTAGTTTCTCATTTGCCTAGCTGTATTTCAAGTGCTCAATATGTGGCTAGTAGTTTTTATATTGGACAGCACAGATACAGAAAAGTTCTATTATTACTAAAAGTTCTATTATACAGTGCTGCTCCAGAGACCACTGCCAGGACCAATTCTTTGCAAACTTTTTATTTAGTTAGCCAAGACTTCTATGATATTCTTATTTATGGCTACGTGGTGTCTGGCTTTCGTGATAGATCTCTGGCATCAACCTCTCTAAGCCTTCTCCCATCCTTAGGATGAAGAGGGTAGACTCTCTCATCTCCCAGCATTCTTCATGTATTGTTGTTACAAAACATATTCCCCTTACCAGAACAGTTTCCTTGTATTGTCTGTATCCTCCATTGTATTGTGTTCCTGCCTTGCACATTAATTTTGCACATAATCCTATCACAATGTTTGGCACATACAAAGATTTTTGATGCTAAGTGAAATAAGTAATAAAAAAGTAAATTAATCTCAACCTCAACTCTACAGATATATGATACTCAGATGAATTTTGCACTATTTGAACCTATACTAAGTGGGCTGAGATGCCTGGTCTCATCCTCCTTCTTTCTAAGGTTTCCACCCATTATGGTTCTTTTTGTTTTTATTTAGTTAGTTAGTTAGTTAGTTTATTTTTTATTTATTTTTATTTATTTATCTTGAGAGAGAAAGTGCAGGAGGGGCAGAGAGGGAGAGAGAGAATCCCAAGCAGGCTCCACACTATCAGTGCAAAGCCTGATGAGGGGCTCAATCCCATGAACTGTGAGATCATGACCTTAGCTGAAATTAAGAGTTGGATGCTTAACTGACTGAGCCACCCAGATGTTCTCATTATGGTTCTTTTCTACACCTGTCTTGCCTTTCCAGACTCCCAGCAGGCTGAGTGTCACCATTCCACCTAACCATACATAATCCACTGCCTCTAACTTATGCTCCATATCTTCCCATTTTTTATTGTAACATAGATAGAAGATAGTAAGTATTACACCAAAAAACAGACTGTGCATAAGGTCAGAATGACCAGGCTTTGCATCAGAAAGAGAAACGATTGCTTCTGGTCTATTCAGAGGAGTAGGGACTTTCATATGACTAATTCTATTAAGCTCACTCTATTACCTCACCTTCATGTTTATCTCTGTTCTAGATGGTTGGATAGCAATTTTTGCTGTTGGATAACAATTTTTATTTTTACCATAAGCATAAACACTAAATAAAAATTTTCAAGAGCAGTATAAGAAGAAGGGTGATTTACTTCATGTACATTGTGAAAGCATGATAGCATTCCCATAGCCAGTGAAGGTATTAGAAAGACATGGGTCCTCTGAGAACAGTAAGGATTTAACCAGGCTGATAAGAGATGATTGGGCACTTCCACCACAAAGGAATAATTATGAACATTAGGTGTCTTAGATTTGTGAAAAACATTTCATTTTATCCAATACCTTTGCAGCATTTGCTGAAGTGGGAGGCTATGAGAGTTTTACAGAGAAGTACATGAATGCCATCCCATCCATAGTTGAGGGGGACAACCTGACAATCAGCCCCAAGTGCTACACTCCTCAGGCTGACTCCTTCCACATCTTCCGAGATGCTGTCACCGGAGATATTCCATGGCCAGGAATGGTATTTGGAATGACCATTGTTGCTGTGTGGTACTGGTGCACAGATCAGGTGAAGTATGCATGTGGTGTGTAAATATGTTTATGTTGTTCTTTTTATTCTCATAGAAAAGCATCTATTTTCTATTTTGTACACATATATACACATACATATGCACAAACACACGTCATTTTAAGAGTCAAACACTTCTACAAGGCTTGTTATGAAAAATAGTTGTCTGGTGTCCTGATCTCTACTCATTGTTGTCTCTCAAAAGCAAACATTGATTCCTTCAGTTAGGTGTTTTTGTATGTATTTCTCTTCTCTAAATCCTTGTACTCAATGCATGGCTCTGTACCATTGGAGTGTATGTCACCTTGGAGCTCATCAGAAATAAATGTTCGCAGATGTTACCCAGATCCAGTGCATCAGAATTTGCTTGTGAATTTGATCTCCAGGTGATTTAAATAAACGTTTGTATTGCTACCTTTTGGTTTTCCAGTTTTAGGATTTTTACACTGGCTTCCAATAATGAGAGATGAGGGTTTAGCTCTTTCAATTTTTTAAAAAAATTTAAATGTTTTTGTTATTCATTTTTGAGAGAGACAGACAGACAGAGTGTGAGCAGGAAAGGGCAGAGAGAGAAGGAGACAAGGAATCTGAAGCAGACTCCAGGCTCCGCGCTGTCAGCACAGAGCCCGACTCAGGGCTTGAATTCTTAAACTGTGAGATCATGACATGAGCCAAAGTCGGACGCTTAACTAACTGAGCCACCCAGTCACCCCTAGCTCTTTCCATTTTTTTATCTTCAGTTTTTCATCTTCTAGTAAAACTAATTCACAATTTTGGTGAGATCAGCATTCAGTGCTACTATTTATGTGACTACATAAATATAATCCACAGCTGAGCCACATGATATTCTCTGGTTGATTTTTCTTTAGCTTTTTCTTTTCTCTAGAATAAATAATTCTTATTTTTTGTGTTTTAATTTTTCTTGGTAATTATTACTCATTAAACACCAAATCCTCTGCAAATTGCCTAAATCTTTTAGATGTGTGCTTGCAAACACATCAAATATCCTACCAACTCTTTTTCTCATTTTCTCATGAAACCTTTGGCCTCTCACAAACTGCTGGGTTGTTCTCTGTGCCTGGTGCCCATCCTAATCCAGGACCCCCTTTATTACCATATTTGGGGTTCCCTTTGCCTCATCCTTGGGTTATATCTCTTAATTCCAGTGTCCCATATCATCTTATCTCTTGGTTTACTTCTTCCTTCAGGGCAATGGAATTCTCCAGTAAGTTCCTAAGAAAAACAGGAGATACATTTATTGTGAATTTGTCTTCATGCTTGAAAATGTCTTCACTCGAACTTTTCTTAAATTGGTCCTCTGGCCATGTACACATTTCCAGGTTGGAAATAATTTTCCAGCCATAAATTCAGTCATCATCTGTTGACTTCCACCATTACTATTGAAAAGCCCGATGTTATTCTTGATCCTTTGGATGTAACCTGTCTTTTCTCTCTAAAAGTTTATCTTTTCTTTGTCCTCGGTGTCTGAAATTTCACACAATGTGCTATTGTTTGTAGATCTATTTTTGTTCATTGTGATGGGCCACTGTAAACCAATTTAATCTGGTAATGGATATTTTTAATGAATTGGGGGAATTCTTTGATTTCTTGCATTTTGTTTTCCTTTGGAGAACTTCCATTTTGAGGACTGATCTTCTTCAGCTAGTTTTCTAGTGTTCTTATCTTTCTTCCACATCGTCCATCTCTTGGTATTTTGTTTTTTGTTTTGTTTTGCTCTACTTTCTAGGAGGCTGCCTCAATATTATCCTTCAGTTTTTCTGCCTTTGTATTCATAACTCCCAAGATCTTATTTTTGGTTTTCTGTATTTTCCTTTTAATAGCATTCAAGTTTGTTTTTCTTTTCTGTGTTGACGTTTTCCTCACCCCAAATAGTCCCTGTCAACTCAAACTTAGAATTTCATAATTTTAAGCCATCTTGGACCAATGGTCACTTGTATCAGTGTGAGATAAGTCTTCTTTTTCTCTATATGATAAACTGATTCTCTAACATATCTCCCAAAGAATGTAATCTTTCATTGATTTGTGCAAACATCTTTATTATTTATATTTTGCCCCTGACTACCTGACTTATCTCCTATATATAGGTGGCCTCATATTCACCCTTAGATCTAATACCCAGACTCTACTTACTTGCTGATAGGACTCTCCTGTTTTACATATAATTTGTATTGTATGTAAATATATACTAATGGCACCTGCTCTCCCAACCCTGAATGACATTGTTGCTATCCCTAATAGATTTGTCTCTCCAAAGAGAAGTAAGCAGAAAAAGTCATCCCTATTTTCTGACATTCCTTGAGAAGAAAAATGTCAAGAAGCAATGGCATTATGGGTAGAAATCCTGCTAGCAAATTCTTAGTCAAGACATTATATAACTTAAGTGGAAATTATGAAATTATACACATTGAATTGCCCAGGACCACAATATTTGATTCATAATTGATTCATAACTAGAGATGAATTTCTCAAGGTTTTCTTCTGATGGCTGCCTGAATGTTGTTTCTATGGCAATGGGCTTAATTTTCCAAATGGACAATGATCCCTAACACTAGAGAGATACTGATGAGTATGTGGCTTATTTGGTGCCTACAACACTAAAGGCACAACTTAAACACACTGCCTGTTGCAAAGATCAATAATGACAACTTTGTATCTGGACAAGTAAATGGTCATTGTTGCAATGCAGCCTAGGAACTGTAAACATTTTAATAGTAGTGGTGTGTATTGACTTCTATGTACCAAGAGTCTAACAAACAATATACCAAATATTCAGAATATCCTGCAAGAGATAACCCTTTTAGACATGAGAAACCTGAGTCTCACAAAGTCAAATACTCATGTAAGAGGAGCAGGGATTTGAGTTCTGATTTAACTCTGAAGTCCATTATTTTCCACTACTCGTGACTCCATATCTTATTGTAACATTAATCCCTGAAAAGAGGCACTCCCCTTCTTTGAAGTTATCCTCTAGTCACTTCATGACTATGTCATGTTTTCCTGGCAGGTTATTGTGCAGCGCTGCCTGTCAGGCAAGGACATGTCTCATGTGAAAGCTGCCTGCATCATGTGTGGGTACCTGAAGCTGCTGCCCATGTTTCTCATGGTGATGCCAGGAATGATCAGCCGCATCCTGTACACAGGCAAGCCATTGACTCATAAATCCTCTTTCTTGTATGCTTGAATTCTGTGTACTGGTTTTGACATGTATTAAAACCTTGATAATCTAGAAAACCCATTATGTATGGAAGTTAAGACATAATACCAGGTGAAAAGAACAGATTTTGCAGAGTTTCAGAAGCAGGAAAATTTGGCATATTTGACATATATCTAACTAATAAGGAATGGCCAAAGAAATGATTATATACCATCTTTATGGAAAATTACACATAAGAACTGAAGACTTTCTCAAATTTTAGTCAAATGCTGAAGTTATTATGTTTAAGGGTAAAAAAGTAAATACAAAACATTATCTCAACAATTGTCATAGTTATGCTGAAAGACATTTCTCTCTGGAAAAAGATTAGAAAGGAATAAAAAAAACTAAAAGAAGCTAATGTATTAATGTGTTAGTATTCTATGGGATTTTTAAAAACCATTTTCTATTTGTTGTCATAATATTGTTTAAGTAAAAAAAAATCCTCAAGGTATTGTACAACTCCCTCCTCATCCCACATAAGCAATTACCCCAATAATGAACACAAATGACACTTCTTACATGTAGGTAGAAAACACTGAATTAAACGACTGGACACAGAACTAATTTCCATATTGATATGGCTGTTGTGGTTGTTTCATCTCTGGAGTTCTCTGCCTCTGGGAGAATTTATGCTCTTGTAGCTTTTCTGGAAGATGGAATCAGCTCCCCCTATTGGTCTAATGCACTAGCTGGGCCATATCCCAAAGAAGAACCTTGCCCCTTAGGTCAGTGCAAAGGGAGGTCCAGGTATGAGACACTTAGGAAGTCACATTCTGGGTGAAGAGGGACCATATCTATGGTATGGAGCTCAAGGTTGAATCTCCAATTTCCAAGCAGATGTATTTCCTCTCACCTATCATCTTACAACTTGTCTCTATGTCCAATGGTTGTAGATCTTACCTGTTTGGGCCTCACTCACTGAACCCACTTATCTGAATCTCCCCTCAGAGAAGGTGGCCTGTGTTGTACCTTCTGAATGTGTGAAACATTGTGGCATTGAGGTCGGCTGTACTAACTATGCTTACCCAGTGATGGTGCTGGAACTGATGCCTGATGGTAAGAAAATGTACACCCTCAATGTTATGCTGAGCGAAATAAGTCAGGCAGAGAAGGACATATACCATATGTTTGCACATATAGGAGGATTAGGAGGAACTTAATGGAGGACCATGGGGGAGAAAAAGCAGGAAAATAGTGGGGGAGAGGGAGGGAGGCAAACCATGAGAGACTCTTGAATGCTGAGAACAAACTGAGGGCTGATGGGAGTGGGGGAGAGGGGAAGGGGGATGATGGGCATGGAGGAGGGCACTTGTGGGGATGAGCACTGCGTGTTATATGGAAACCAACTTGACAATAAACTATTAAAAAAAGAAAGAAAGAAAATGTACACCCTCAAATGAATGGAGAAAATGTGATGATAGATAGATGATAGACAGATAAATGATAGATAGATAGATAGATAGATAGACAGGCAGATATAGGTATAGATAATGGCATATTAGTCAGCCTTTAAAAAATGAAAACCTGCCATGTGCAACAACATAGCTGAACCTGGAAGACATTATACTAAATGAGATAAGCCAGACACAGAAAGACAAAAAGCACACAATGTCACTTATATGTGGAATCTAAACAAGTGGAACTCATACAAGCAGAGAGTACAATGGGGTTTCCAGGGACTGGGGGTGGGGAAAATGGGAAGATTACAAAGGGTACAACTTTGCAGTTATAAGATGATAACATAAGTTCTGGAGAACTAATGCACAGCATGGAGATTATAGTTAATAAGAATGTATGTTTAAAATTTGCTAACAGAATAGATCTCAAGTATTCTCACCACAAAACAAGAAAACTATAACTATGTGAGGTGATGGTTATGTTTACTAGCTTGATTATGATAACATTTCACAGTGTATACATAAAACAAAACATCACATTATACATCTTAACTATATACAACTGTTATTTGTCAATCATACTTCAATAAAACTGGAAAAAAATGTTCATGTTGGGACTACCTGAGAGACCTAGTCTATAAATGGGCCATGAGGAAGGATTACAGCATAATCCTTAATAATCTTAACTTCCATGAATTCAATTGTCTTCGTCAGACATTTCTTGAGCACTTTCCATAGGCTACCAGTACTGTGCTGAGCCTGGGGAATACAGAGATGAATCAGATATAATTCCTATTAGAAGAACCCTTACTTCTTTAGATTCAAGATTGCCTTCCAAGGCGATCAAGAGCATTTAAAGTGATGGATTTGTCAGTAAAAGAGTTGTATAAACACAAGCTTATAAACTCAGAAAACTAGATGTTGCTATTTATCTTGCTCTCTCTAGACCAGTTATACTCAAACAATACACCTCAATCTATTTAATTTACAACTATTTATCGAATGCCTACTATGTGCCAGACAGTGGCCTGATGCTTAGAAAACATCAGTGAAATAAGAACAAAATCCCCTATACCTTGGAACTCACATTCTTGTTTCATGAGATATAAAATAAATTACACATGTGGAAAAAGCAAATTATTAGGATGCCAGAAGGTGATCTGTGTTGGCCAGTAACAGAGCAGAATATGGGGTTCAGGAACAACAAGGTGATCTTATACCTTAGACCCATCAAAGGTCAGCTAACACTTCTTCAATCTTTCTTCTCCCTGACACACGAGAATTGTCAGGAAGAAGTGAGTATGACCCACAAGTGACATCACTCATATAACTCATTCCACACTTTGTCCTAGGAGCCTTAGGGGCATTACTAATAAGCAGAGGGAACTAGAGGACGAATACCATAATATCTCAAAACTCTTTGCTTTGCCCAACAAAAACTTCCTCCACAGAATCACTTACTAGGTTTTTCTCTCTCCAGTTCTCTAAGTCTTCAGGAAGCCAAGAGTTTCTCCCCAAAGAAAGATAGGGAGAGATGCCTCCCCTCTCCTAAATTTAGATTCCAGCAAATGATCTTTAAGTTTACATTTATAACTAAAATTCTGTACTGGATCATTCTCAAATCACCAGGAAATGTCCAGGAAATGCTACATGATGATACATGTTGACAGGCACATCAGTTGGTAAATGTTCCAGATGACACTTTTGAATGACTCTGGTTTGGCAAGGCCCCTGCAAATCACGGAGTCCAATTCCTAACTAATGTTTGCACTCTCATCTGGCCCCAGGACTGCGAGGTCTGATGCTGTCAGTCATGTTGGCCTCTCTCATGAGCTCCATGACCTCTATCTTCAACAGTGCTAGCACCCTCTTTACCATGGACCTGTACACCAAGATTAGAAAACAGGCATCAGAGAAAGAGCTTCTTATAACAGGACGGTGAGAACATCCTGGTTTCTGTCTAAAAATTTCTCTGGAAAGCACGGAAATACAAGTAAACTAGAATTTTCTCATTCTTGGTTTCAGTGAAATGAATAATAGGATTCTAATGTGGGAAAGGGACATTAAGAGGATATTTAATCCAACTTTATTTGTTTCCAGATAGAAAACTTGGGACCATACTTAAAAAAAAATGTTTATTTATTTTTGAGAAAGAGAGTCACAGAGTTCGAATGGGGGAGTGTCAGAAAGAGAGGGAGACAGAAAATCCAAAGCAGGCTCCAGGCTCTATGAGCTGTTAGCACAGAATTTGACACAGGGTTGGAACTCATGAATGGTTAGATCAGCCCTGAGCTGAAGTTGTACGCTCAACCAACTGAGTCACCCAGGCGCCCTAGGGCCATACTTTAAAATAGTTGCTTTTAAGGATTTTCAAATGCCTCTGATTGTCTCTTATTTGTTTCTCCCCTTACACTCTCTTCCTATCATATCTTCATGAAACTCCGGTAGTTTTCATGAGATATAAAATTTCCACCTACTCTGATAGGTTAAAGCAGTCTCTAGAAGTTTCCATGTATATCTCATGAAGGAAGTCACAGATTGTCATCCACACACTACTACACAGTAGTTTATCAACTGCACTCATTAAGAGATGGAGTATCAAGAGGGGGCACCTGAGTGGCTCAGTCAATTAAGCATCTGACTTCAGCTCAGGTTAGGATCTCATAGTTCATGGTTTTAAGCCTCACGTCAGGCTCTGTGCTGACAGCTCGGAGCCTGGAGCCTGCTTTGGATTCTGTGTCTCCCTCTCTCTTTCCCCCTCCCCTGCTTGTGTTCTGTCTCTCTCCATCTCTCAAAACTAAATAAACGTTAAAATATTTTTAAAAAAGAAATGGAATCTGAAGAGAAACTGACTATATATAAAAGATACTGCTTTGCTGAAGACAGTAACAATCACTTAGTAAATTAAGCATTTGCAAGGAAAATTCCAAGGGCTCACTTGGTCCAGATCTTGACTCTAGATACTATAGGAGAAGAAGAACAGTAAAGCATCTCATCTGTGTTTCTGTGGTAGACAAAGTGCTGGATCTGAATTCAGTAAGCCCAGGATGAAGAAGTCCAGCAAGAGGAATATGATCTCGGATATGAATGCCCTTTAAGTCTCAATTTTAAATCAATGAGTTTTTCTTCTCTCTCTCTCTCTCTCCCTCTCTCTTATTAAAAGCCTACTATGTCCCAGAATACAAATATGGAAAAGGGCATATATGTAAAAAATAATTTCCTGCTTTGTGAGATTTATGCCTTTGTTGGCAAGATAGACAATTAATAAATATGTTCTATATCTGATGACAAAAGTGCCAGGAATAAAATTAAAATGGGATTAAAGATCGGGGTTACTTAAGACAGGTGTTCAGGGAGTCCTCTCTGAGAAGGTGACCTTTAAGCACAGCCCTGAAGGAAGTGTGGAAGTGAGCCCCATGGCTCGGTGGGGATGGAACGGTAAGTGCTGAATTCTTACAACAGTCATGTGTGTGGTGTATTTGAGGGCAGCAAGAGTAAGGTTGGCACATATGAACAAGTGGAAGAGTGATAAGAAACATGATCGGAAAGATAGCTAGAGTGAAATTATGTAGGGCCATTTAAGCCATAACAAGACTTTGGATTTTATTCCACATATGATAGAAAACAACTGAAAATAAGCAAGCAAGGGATGTACATGACTCGCTTTCCAATGACGATAACAAGGAGAACAAGGACAGTGGGTATTATTTATTGAATCCTTACTATACTCTAGGCATCATGCTCAGACTTCCTGTGGTTTATCACATTTACTTAGTAGGTTGCAGAAGTTTTGTGAACATTCAATGAAACACTTGTGCCTCAGTCTCCTGCCCAAATGCCTGTCCCCCATTTCTCCCAGCCTCCACCTCTCTGTTTCAGGTGAGCACAGAGAAGTAATAACCTTTTACAGACAGTTGAGTAAATTATGTTTGTTTATTCACACAATAAGAACAGAATATTGAGCTTATCATTAGTTATTCTCCCTGCACCCCATGACATCTAAAAGGTTTTTTACTGACTTTCTACCTGCCAAAGTACTCAAGCAGTAAAATGAACAAATTAGCATTTCTGGCCAATTCACTCAGCATTCTAGGATAAAGGATATTTTAATTCTAACCTGTGCAAATTGACTTAGTTTCTCTCAAGCTAGGGAAAAAAATATCAAAATGGGGATCTGCTTTCTTTATCATACAAATAATTACTTATTCATAGAAATAGTGTGGTGTTTATTCCTAATTGATATATTACATAAATTGCACTAGAGAATTATTAACCAGTTGCTGACATTTGAACTGTTTTATGAATGGATATTTAACCTTACAGTTGAAGCTATTACTTCAATTACAGAGAAGTGATTGCTTTATTGGCATTTTACTAATCTATGGTCATAAAACATCCCATGGCTTCATGTGAGGTCAAGAAGTATGATTTTATTTGGAAAATCAATGAATAGCCACAAGAATCAAGAACTTTAAAGCACAATGGAGGCACCAATAATGCTTTTGTTTAAAATTTAAATCATTTTTCTTTCTCTCCAGGCTATTTATCATTCTATTAATTGTCATCAGCATTTTGTGGGTCCCCTTAGTGCAGGTATCTCAAAACGGACAACTATTCCATTATATAGAATCAATTTCTAGCTATCTTGGGCCTCCAATTGCGGCTGTCTTCCTGCTTGCCATCTTCTGTAAAAGAGTCAATGAACAGGTAAGTAAAAATCAGAAAACTTCTTCCCTGCTGGGGTGAGAATATTTTATTTCTTTCACTGGTAGGAAAATGCAGTCTTTCACCCTGTTTATACAACTCAAAGCCCATCTCAATTTTCATTGTAGTTAGCTATAATTCCTGTGTAAATACATTAAAGTTTGTAAATACATAGGGCACACTTGTAGTACAGTCTGTATATTTCCTACAAAATATTATATACATATATGACACAGTGATGAGGAAGACAAGTTTTGGAGTAAGACTGACAGAATTCAACCCTGGCTCTACCATTTTATATCATTGTGATCTATCTTAAGCAAACCATTGGTTCTGTGTAGAATGAAGATAATCACAGTGCCTACCTTGTAAGATTGCTGTGAGGACTAAAAAGGACTTATTTCAATTTTTTATGTTTATTTATTTTTGAGAGTGAAAGAGAGAATGAGTGGGGGAGGAGCAGTGAGAGGGATGTACAGAATCTGAAGCAGGCTCCAAGCTCTCAGCTGTAAGCACAGAGCCCAACACGGGGCTCGAACCAATGAACTTTGAGATCGTGACCTGACCCAAAGTCGGATGCTCAACTGAGCCACCCAGGTGCTCCAAAGTGGATTTATTTTAATGTGAAGTGCTTAGAAGAAAACCTCCCACTTCCATAACATAAAGTATGTTAATTTCTATGATAATATATGTAACTGATTATTTTGGAGCAAGATATTTAATCACTTAATTGTTTCCAGCTGTTAACTTTATTATAATTTTGAAATGAAGAATAGGAAAAGAGAGGTGAATATCTTATGTGCTTTTCGAATGTTATTTAATATTAGTAAGTGGTATTTTGGGAGTCAGACCCAGGTCTTCCTCCAACTAAAGCTCATGCTTTTAATCTCTAGGCAATACCATTTCCCCTGAACATAATATCTTGATCAGAGGAATAGGGGTTACACATGTTTCCAACCCCACCAGCTTCTCAGAGAAAATAGATGCTTTTAATTGCCAAAAGCTTAATAGAACTATCATAGCTATCTAATATCAACTCTGTAAATTATGTAAAATAATCCATAGCTCTGTTTATTCTGTAAAATAAGAATAAACCACTACTTTTAAAATCTATATATAAAATAAAATTCAAGGTAAACAAGCTTGGGGCAGAGTATACAGTAGTGTCCTGGAGTAGTATCTGATGCAATAAAATTTCAGGATCACTGATAAACACATGCATTTGTATCTTTTCATTGTTTTCATGGCTTTGTGCTCAAGGCTAGCCATTATTGGTTCTTAGTGGAGAAAGTAGGTAGGATGATAATTCTTACCTACTCAAATGAGCTTCCCATCTTTTCTAAATAGTATGGTTTTATTCTCATTTCTTTTGCAGGGAGCCTTCTGGGGTCTAGTCGTTGGACTTGTGATTGGCCTCATTCGAATGATTGCAGAGTTTGCCTATGGAACAGGAAGTTGCTTAGCTGCCAGTAACTGTCCCAAGATCATCTGTGGAGTGCACTATCTGTACTTTGCCATCATCCTCTTTTTTGTTTCCTTACTAGTCATCCTGGGAATTTCCCTGTTAACAAAACCCATTCCTGATGTACATGTGAGTACTCATTTCAAAATAAGAATTCTTGGGGCTCCTGGATACCTCAGTCAATTAAGTGACTGACTCTTGATTTTGGCTCAGGTCATGATCCCAGGGTCATGAGATCAAGCTCCATGTCAGTGTCTGCACTGGGCATGGAGCCTGCTTGGGATTCTCTCTCTCTCTCTCTCTCTCTCTCTCTCTCGCTTGCTCGCTCGCTCTCTGTTTCTCACTCTCTCTCTCTCTTTTCCTTTGCCCTTCTCCCCCATTTACTCTAAATAAATAAATAAATAAATAAATAAATAAATAAATAAATAAGAGTTCTTTGCCTTCCCAGGTATTAGGAAATGGGCTTCATCCTCAAAAAACTTCACAAATCTTTATCTTTGTTATAAGATACCAGGAAGAGAGGAATTAGTGCTACCTAAGAGATTGGAAAAGACTTCAGAGCAGAGCTGTTATCTGGGCTGGGACTATTTGGGGATGAGTAGAATTTCATATACAATACAAACATCAATACAGAGATTTAAAAAAATAAGTACATGATACTAGGTGGCAGGAAAAAGAAATAGAATGAGATGCCTTTCAAATTGGCAAAAGGGTTTAATATTAATATGTCCACTATTGGTAAGGATGTTGGGAAATGTCCACTCTCCAAAATCATTGGTAATGTATGAATTTTGTAATTTGTAGGAGGACAATTAGGGAATATGTATCAATTATAATTAAAATTCTCATACCTTATGAACCAACAACCCCATTTCTAGGAACTTATTGTGTAGAAATACACAAATAGGAAAAATATACATATAAAGATATTATCTGCAAAAGGTTTCTAGTAGAAAAAGATGGAAACAACCTAAATTTCCATTGCTAGTGAAATGGATACACTAGCACATGGTACACTAAATACCATGCAGCTGTTCAAAAGCCTGAGGAGTTCTATCATTTGCTTTCTTAAATGTCCATGATATGGTTAAGTGGGGAAAAACTTGCAGAATAATATGGTATTATATAAGATCACCTTTTGAAAATAACACACACACACACACACACACACACACACATTGGTCTAACAATGGAAAAAATACCTTAAAGCATATACACCATAAAGTTTTTTTTTCCCTAGTGGACCTGTGAGGCCTTAGATAGTTTATTTTTATTTTTTAATTTAATTTATTTTATCTTTTTATTTTCTTAAATAGTTTATTGTCAAGTTGGTTTCCATATAACACCCAGTGCTCATCCCAACAAGTGCCCTCAATAAAAGGTATCTCTGGGGGAAACACTATAGAGGAGCAGCAAATATTAGTCATTTTTTTAATAGATAGTTTATTGTCAAATTAGTTTCCACATAACACCCAGTGCTCATCCCCACGAGTGCCCTCCTCCATGCCAATCCCCCCTCCCCCCTACATCCATCAGTTCTGTTTTTGTCAGCATTCAAGAGTCTCTCATGGTTTGCCTCTCTCCCTTTCCCCCACCATTTCCGCCCTTCTTCTCCCCCTTGTTCCTCCGTCAAGTTCCTCCTAATCCTCCTATACGTGCAAACATATGATATTTGTCCTTCTCTGCCTGACTTATTTCGCTCAGCATAACACCCTCAAGGTCCATCCATGTTGCTACACATGGCCAGATTTCATTGTTTCTCATTGCCATGTAGTATTCCATGGTATAGATAAACCACATCTTCTTGATCCATTCGTCCGTTGATGGACACTTAGGCTCTTTCCATGTTTTGGCTATTGTTGAGAGTGCTGCTATGAACATTGGGGTACATGTGCTCCTATGCCTCAGCATTTCTATATCCCTTGGGTAAATTCCTAGCAGTGCTATTGCTGGGTCATAGGGGAGTTCTATTGTTAATTTTTTGAGGAACCTCCACACTGTTTTCCAGAGGGGCTGTACCAGTTTACATTCCCACCAACAGTGTAAGAGGGTGCCCGTTTCTCCACATCCTCGCCAGCATCTCATGTTCTCTGATTTGCTCATTTTAGCCACTCTGACTGGTGTGAGGTGGTATCTCAGTGTGGTTTTGATTTGTATTTCCCTGATAAGTAGGGATGCTGAGCATCCTTTCATATGTTTGTTGGCCATCTGGATGTCCTCTTTGGAGAAGTGTCTGTCCATATCTTCTGCCCATTTCTTTACTGGGTTGTTTGTTTTTTGGGTGTGGAGTTTGGTGAGTTCCTTATAGATTCTGGATATCAACCCCTTATCTGATATGTCGCTTGCAACTATCTTTTCCCATTCCGTTGGTTGCCTATTAGTTTTGTGGGTTGTTTCCTTTGCCGTGCAGAAGCTTTTAATCTTGATGAGGTCCCAATCGTTTATTTTTGCTCTTGATTCCTTTGCTTTAAGATGTCATTACTACCCAAAGCTATCTACACATTCAACGCAATTCCAATCAAAATTGCCCCAGCATACTTCTCAAAGTTAGAGCAAACTATCCTAAAATTTGTATGGAACCACAAAAGACCCCGAATAGCCAAAGTAATACTGAAAAATAAAACCAAAACGGGAGGTATCACTATCCCAGACTTTAACCTCTACTACAAAGCTGTCATCATCAAGACAGTATGGTATTGGCACAAAAACAGACACATAGACCAATGGAGCAGAATTGAGAACTCAGAAATGGACCCAAAAGTATACAGCCAACTAATATTTGACAAAGCAGGAAAGAATATCCAATGGAAAAAAGACAGCCTCTTTAACAGATGGTGTTGGGAGAACTGGACAGCAACATGCAAAAGAATGAAACTAGATCAATTTCTCACACCATACACAAAAATAAACTCAAAATGGATAAAGGACCTGAATGTGAGACAGGAAACTATCAAAACCCTAGAGGAGAAAGCAGGAAACAACCTCTTTGACCTCCACCGCAGCAACCTCTTACTTGACACATTCCCCCAAAGCAAAGGAATCAAGAATATTAGTCATTTTTTAACTTAAATATTGCTTACATACTAACATTATTTGAATGTATTACTCATGTGTATAACTTTTATTTATTTTGCATTTATCACTCAGTCTTTGAAGCAGTATTTACTTGCATATTCCCTTAGAAAGTAGTAAATATTATTTGTGGATGGGGAAATCCAAAACACAGAATGGTTCACATTACTTTATCAAAGACATGTCACCAGAAGTCACAACAAATATTTGTGTTGAATATTGGGAATTGAATGGAAAAAAAATACTAGAAAATATATTATATTTTTCAAAGAAATATAAACATTAAGCTTTATATGGCAACAAAAATAACTACAATTTATCATTAAGTTTTTTAAAAAATGTGTCTAAAGAATCAATAACACCATTTATGTAATTTATGTTTATGTTTTATAAATATACTATGAGGTTTGAATTTTCAAAATGGACTGATAAATATCATAAGTCACATCAGAGAACGTTATGAGTAGTGTTGTGGATCTAACCTAGCAATTCAGTAAAAAGAAATCTCAGAATGATACTTTGTTTTGGCAAGACTAAAAAGTACCTGTCCAAGTTAGAACAAAAATTCAAGGAGCCCAAATAAAAGGGTTTCAGCAAGAAAATATATACTGTATAAGAAATGCTAGGATTAAGGGGCACCTGGATGGCTCAGTCGGTTGGGCATCTGACTTCGGCTCAGGTCGTGATTTCATGATTCGTGAGTTCAAGCTCCACGTCGGGCTCTGTGCTTACAGCTCAGAGCCTGGAGCTTGCTTTGGATTTTGTGTCTCCCTTTCTCTGTTCTTCCCCATCTCGCACTCTGTCTCTCTCTCTCAAGATTAAATAAACATTAAAAAAATGCTAGGATTAAGAACTTTATGAAGCTACAATTAGGAATCTTAGTGGTAAGGTGGAAGCATATGCTTGTTATGCCTACAATAAATTTTAAAAAGCCAATTATAAATCCTAGTAAATCTCTACAAGAAAGTCATGAGCCAAGTATGAGGCCAATTAAAATGACACATCACTTTGAGCATATGATGATTATAATTTTGAAACCCAGTTGACACTTGGAATCCTTTCCTTAGAATGACCTAGAGCTGGTATTCATTCATTGTGTCCAATTACATGTCTTGGATCTATGGCATAGAAAAAAGTTACATAATAGCATAAATAGCTATTTTCAAATTTTTAGCCAACATACAAAGCATGGAAATATTGATCATATTTATAGAAAACAATTAAATTCTATAAAGCTTATAGCAATTTTAAAATAATGATACATTTGACAAAAGCTTGGAGGTTGGCTGGAGAATGGATGTATAAGGGCACAAATTGTTATCAGAACTTAATAGTAGTACATAGATATGATCTAAACACGATGAATCCAGGAATGGAGCTAAAAAGGATATTTTATTTTATTTTTATATTTTTAAACATTTATTTACCTTTGAGAGACACAGAAAGACAAAGCGCAAGCAGGGGAGGAGCAAAGACAGAGAGAGACACAGAATTTGAAGCAGGCTCCAGGCTCTGAGCTGTCAGCACAGAACCTGATGCTGGGCTCAAACCCGAACCATGAGGTCATGACCTGAACCAAAGTCAGACGCTCAACCGACTGAGCCACCCAGGTGCCCCTAAAAAAATATTTTATAAGTTACAAACGTAACCACTAGACAAACTGAAAGTAATATGATACAGTTAATAACAGCTGAATGATAAGGATGAGTGAAGTGAGGGTACTGTAAGCTAGATATATATTTGACTTTTATGAAATTATAAATCCAGAAGTAAGAGTTTTAAGAATATTGCTTAAGATGGGGAACCTGGGTGGCTCAGTCAGTTAAGCGTCCAACTTCAGCTCAGGTCACGATCTCATGGCTTGTGGGTTCGAGCCCTGCATCAGGCTCTGTGCTGACAGCTCAGAGCCTGGAGCCTGCTTCAGATTCTGTGTCTTCCTCCCTCTCTGCCCCTATCCTGCTCACACTCTGTCTCCCTGTCTCTAAACAATGAATAAACGTTAAAATTTTTTTAAGGACTATTACTTATGAGTATTTAATTACTACTGAAAGAGTTTAAAACATCAATAATTTTAAATAGTTAGTGTGTATTTGTGAATTATTATGGCAGAAGACATTTCTTTGTTACATATACTATGCAATGTCATTTGATTTTCTTGCACTAAACAATAAATGAATGTACCATCGTATTATTTAAACATTTGTCCATCACTAACGTGCTTGTCTGTGGTCTTTGTGTAGCTGTATCGTCTGTGCTGGGCTCTTCGGAACAGTAAGGAGGAACGAATTGATTTAGATGCAGAAGAGAAAAGACATGAAGAAGCTGATAATGATGTTGATGAAGGTAATATCTGGTTTACATTTGGTTTTCATACAAAAATTCAGTATTCCTGAATTGGTTTCATGTTTGCTTAAATTTTCTTTTTGCCACTAAATTCAGTTTCTTAAAAAAGCTGTTAGATTTATGGTAAACTGAAACTTTGAAATCTTATTTTCCCCAAACCAAGACAAATTCATTATAAAAGAAATATTCGAATTCATCTGCCTGTCCATCAGACTGTCCGTCCATTCAGCCATCATACAACCATGGGTCTGTGTACCAGCTCTGATGTGAAAATCAACTCCAGAGTCTCCTTTTCCTAATCACATATTAAATGTTCAACAAATCGATCTTTTTTTTTTTTTAATTTTCATTTGAAGTTTATTCACCAAGTTCTTTCCTTTCTTTCTCAAGTCTGAACAGGCAGATAGTGACTTTATTTATTTATAATATTATTTTTTCTTAAATAGTTTATTGTCAAGTTGGGTTCCATATAACACCCAGTGCTCATCCTAACAAGTGCCCTCCTCCATGCCCATCACTCCTCTTACCCTCTCCCCCACCTCCATCAGCCCTCAGTTCATTCTCAGTAATCAAAAATCTCTAATGGTTTGCCTCCCTCCCTCTCCTCGACCATTTTCCCCCTTCTTCTCCTCCATGGTGCTCCATTAAGTTCCTCCTAATCAACATGGAAACATATGATATCTGTCCTTCTCTGCCTGACCTATTCCACTCAGCATAACACCCTCAAGTTCCATCCATGTTGCTACACATGGCCAGATTTCATTCTTTCTCATTGCCATGTAGTATTCCTTTGTGTAGATAAACCACATCTTCTTGATCCATTCATCAGTTGATGGACCCTTAGGCTCTTTCCATGCTTTGGCTATTGTAGAGAGTGCTGCTATGAACATTGGGGTACATGTGTCCCTATGCATCAGCACTCCTGTATCCCTTGGGTAAATTCCTAGCAGTGCTATTGCTGGGTCATAGGGGAGTTCTAGTGTTAATTTTTTGAGGAACCTCTACGCTGTTTTCCAGAGGGGCTGCACCCGTTTACGTTCCCACCAACAGTGTAGGAAGGTGCCCGTTTCTCCACATCCTCGCCAGCATCTAGAGTTCTCTGATTTCCTCATTTTAGCCACCCGACTGGCGTCAAGTGGTATCTCAATGTAGTTTTGATTTGCATTTCCCTGATGAGGAGGAATGCTGAGCATCGTTTCATGTGTCTTTTGGCCATCTGGTTGTCCTCTTTGGAGAAGTGTCTGTTCATATCTTCTGCCCATTTCTTCACCGGATTTTTTGTTTTTCGAGTGTGGAGGTTGGTGAGTTCCTTATAGATTTTGGATACAGCCCTTTATCTGATATTTCATTTGCAACAATTTTTCCAATTCTGCCGGTGCCTAAATTTTATTAATTATTTCCTTTGACCTGCAGAAGCTTTTCATCTTGATGAGGTCCCAATAGTTCATTTTTGCTCTTGATTCCCTTGCCTTTGGGGATGGGTTAAGTAAGAAATTGCTGCGGTTGGATTCAAGGAGGTTGTTCCCTGATTTCTCCTCTAGGGTTTTGATGGTTTCCTGTCTCACGTTCAGTTCCTTCATCCACTTTGAGGTTCTTTTTGTGTATGGTGTGAGAAAATGATCTAGTTTCATTCTTCTGCATGTTGCTGTCCAGTTCTCCCAGCACCATCTGTTAAAGAAGCTATCTTTTTTCCATTGGATACTCTTTCCCACTTTGTCAAAGATTAGTTGGCCATACACTTGTGGGTCCAATTCTGAGTTCTCTATTCTATTCCGTTGGCCTATTTGTCTGTTTTTGTACCAATACCATACTGTCTTAATGATGACAGCTTTGTAGTAGAGGCTAAAGTCTGGGATGGTGATGCCTTCCGTTTTGGTTTTATTCTTCAATATGACTTTGGCTATTCGGGGTCTTTTGTGGTTCCATACAAATTTTAGCATAGTTTGTTGTAGTTTTGAGAAGACTGCTGATGCAATTTTGATTGGGATTGCCAGAAATGTGTAGATTGCTTTGGGTAATAATGACATTTTAACAATATTTATTCTTCTGACCCATAAGCATGGAATGTTTTCCATTTCTTTGTGTCTTCTTCAATTTCCTTCATAGTTTTTCATAGTTTTCATCATACAGATCTCTAATATCTTTGGGTAGGTTTATTCCTAGGTATTTTATGTTTTTTTGTGCAATTGTGAATGGGATCAGTTTCTTGATTTCTCTTTCTGTTGCTTCATTACTGGTGTATAAAAATGCAACCTATTTTTGTACGTTGATTTTGTACCCTGCAACTTTGCTGAATTCTTGGATCAGTTCTAGTAGGCTTCTGGTGGAGTCTATTAGGTTTTCTATGTAGACTATCATGTCATCTGCGAAAAGTGAAAGTTTGACTTCTTCTTTGCCAATTCTGATACCTTTGATTTCCTTTTGTTGTCTGATTACTGATACTAGGACTTCCAGCCCTATGTTAAACAACAGTGGTGAGAGTGGACATCTCTGTCTTGTTCCTCATTTCAGGGGGAATGCTCTCAGTTTTTCCCTACTGTGGATGATGTTAGCTGAGGGCTTCTCATAGATGGCTTTTATGATGTTGATCTTTATTAAGAAGGGATTCTGTATTTTGTCAAATGCTTTTTCTGCATCTATCGACAGGATCATATGGTTTTTATCTTTTCTTTTGTTGATGTGATGTATCACGTTGATTGATTTGTGAATGTTGATCCAGCCCTGTAACCCAGGAATGAATCCCACGTGATCTTGGAGAATAATTCCTTTTATGTGCTGTTGAATTCGATTTGCAAGTATCTTGTTGAGGATTTTTGCATCCATATTCCTCAAGGATATTGGCCTGTAGTTCTCTTTTTTTGCTGGGTCTCTGTCTGGCTTGGGAATCAAAGTGATGCTGGCTTTGTAGAATGAGTCCAGAAGTTTTCTTTCCATTTCTATTTTTTGGAAATACCTGGGAAGAATGGGTATTAATTCTGTTTTAAATGTCTGGTAGAATTCCCCAGGGAAGCCATCTGGCCCAGAGCTCTTATTTGTTGGGAGATTTTTGATAACTGATTCAATTTCCTAACTAGTTATGGGTCTGTTCAGGTTTTCTATCTCTTCCCGTGTGAATTTTGGTAGTGAGAGTGTGTTTAGGAGTTTGTCCATTTCTTCTAAGTTGTCCAGTTTGTTGGCATATAGTTTATCATAGTATTCCCTGATAATTGCTTGTATTTCTGAGGGGTTGTTGTAATAAGTTCATTTTTATTCATGATTGTGTCTATTTGAGTGCTCTCTCTTTTCTTTTTGTGAAGCCTGGCTAGAAGCTTGTGAATTTTTTTTATTTTTTTCAAAAACCAACTCTTGGTTTCATTGATCCTTTCAACCTTTTCTTTGGTTTCTATATTGTTTATTTCTTCCCTCATTTTTATTATTTCTCTTCCCCTACTTGGTTTGCATTGCTCTTGTTGCTCTTCATCTAGTTCCTTTACGTGTGCTGTTAGATTTTGTACATGAACTTTTTCTAATTTCTTGAAATAGACCTGGAGTGCAATGTACTTTCCTCTTAGGACTGCCTTTGCCGCATCCCATAGAATTTGCACTTGATCTTAGCCAAAAGGCCGAGAAGCAATCCCATAGAGTTTGGATTGTTGCATTTTCATTTTCATTTGCTTCCATATATTTTTAAATTTCTTCTCTAATTGCCTGATTGGCGCATTCGTTCTTTAGTAGGTGTTCTTTAACCTCCATGTTTTTGGAGGTTTTCCAGACTTCTTCCTGTGGTTGATTTCAAGCTTCATAGCATTGTGACCTGAAAGTGTGCATGATATGATCTCAATTCTTTGATATTTACTCAGAGCTGCTTTATGTCCCAGTATGTGATCTATCTTGGGGAATATGCCATGTGCACTTGAGAAAAAGTGAATTCCATGGCCTCAGGATGTAGGCTTCTAAATATATCTGTCAAATGCATCTGATCCAGAGTGTCCTTCAAGTCCACTGTTTTTTTAGTGATTATCTGTCTAGTTGATCTCTCCATTGCAGTAAGTGGAGTATTAAAGTCCTCTGCTATTAGCACATTCTTGTCCATAAGATTGTTTCTGTTTGTGATTAATTGTTTTATATATTTAGGTGCTTCCCTATTTGGTGCGTAGAGATTTATAATTGTTAGCTCTTCCTGATGGATAGACCCTGTAATTATTATATAAGGCCCTTCTTCATCCCTTGTTACTGTATTTACTTTACTTTAAAGTCCAGTTTGTCTGATATAAGTATAGCTACTCCAGCTTTCTTTTGACTTCCAGTAGCATGGTAGATATTTCTCCATCCCCTTACTTTCAATCTGAAGGTGTGCTCATATCTAAAATGAGTTTCTTGTGGACAGCAAATAGATAGATTTTGTATTTTTATCCATTCTGCTACCCTATGTCTTTTGATTGGAGCATTTAGTCCTTTCACATTTAGTGTTATTATTGAAAAATATGGGTTTAGAGTCATTGTGTTCTTTGTAAGATTCATGCTTGTGGTGGTGTCTCTGGTACCTTGCATTGTTTGCAACATTTCCCTTAGAGAGTCCCCCTCAGGATTCCTTGTAGGGATGGTTTAGTGGTGACAAATTCTTTCAACTCTCTTGAGAGAGTTGCTCTTGAACTCTCCTTTCATGTTCCTGGATCAGTTTATCTCTCTTTTACTTGACTTCCTCTTTTTCCATAATTGTGTCTTCTAAATCGCCTATTCTCCCCTCGCCTCTTTAATCCATGCATTGGACGCCTCCATTTAATTATGCACTTCATTTATAGCATTTTTTTAATTCATCACAACTATATTTAAACTCCATAGTCTTTGTAGCAATAGTTTCTCTGATTTCTTCCATGCTTTTTTCAAGCCCAGCGATTAATTTTATGACTATCATTCTAAATTTTTGTTCATTCAAGTTGCTTATATCTGTTTTGAGCAGTTCTTTAGCTGTCATTTCTTCCTGGAACTTCTTAGAGGAGAGTTCTTTCATTTCATCACTTTGGCTACCTTTCTGTCTCTTGTTAGTTTTAAAAGCCTGTTATGTACTCTGCACCTACGAGTACTGCTGTATTAGAGAAGGCTCTTTGACTGTCCAGAGCTTGTCTGTTCAGGAAGTATTCTTTGAATGGTGTCTCTTGATCTCTCCTGTTGAGACTTTGATTATTTAATTTCCTACTCGTAGTGGTATTTGGGACTCTCCACCGTGTGTACTTTGGCTTGTTTCTTGAAGTAGCCCTGGAAAAGAAAACAGACAGACAAACACACAGGGAATAAGGCACACAAATGCACAGACAAATCCAACAAACATGCAAACTGAAAGGGGGGAAAAAAGGAGGATAAAAAAAGAGGAAGGAGGAAAAACAAATAATAAAAATAAAAATAAAAAATAAATAAAAAACAAAAAAAGAAGATAAAAGGAAAAAAAAAAACAAAGACAAAGGACAGTCTAAAAGCATAAAACCAGAATTCCCAGCTACAAATAAAGAGCCGGCTGTATGCACTTCCATTGTAAGAGCATATACAAAGAGAGAAATAACAGGGCTGGGGGGAAGTGAAATTGGAAGAGAAATGACTACGCAGAGAGAGTAAGAGGCTTAATTGAGAGAGAGAAAGAGGAGAATATGGTAAGAGATGAGGAGAAAGAAACGAAGATAATGTTACTCAGAGAAACTATATAATCTGATTACTCCAGAGAGAGAGAGAGAGAGAGAGAAAGGTAGAGGCGGAGGTGTAGAATATACATCTAGAGAGAGAATGGATTAAATGTGACTGTTTACACAAGCCAGTGACCAGAGTGCCCAGTTCAGCAGAGGGGAGGGACACGAATGAGACAAGGGAAAATATATCTGAAAAGAAAGAATTGATCTAGAATTAATCATGGTAGTTCATCCATGTATATCTTGCCCCAGGCCCTGGTAAAAAAAAAAAAAAAGGCAGCTCTCTAGTGGGGATGGGCATGGCTTGGTGTAGGTGGATCTTAGCTTCCACTGCATCCCACTGACTGCTCCCTGAGGTCCTGCCTTGGTGGTTGTGGGAGAAAAATGGCGGTGCCCCAGTCCCTTCTCAAGCCAAACATTACAACTCACTCTTTTGGGTCCAATCTCCCTGTGCCGAGGGCGTAGCTGAGGTGGGCTGTGCTCTATGTCCCAAGCCATGCCTTGTTTCCAGATCTTAGTCTGTGTGCCCCATCGTTACTGACCGAATAAAACTCTCAAACTGAGTCCCTCCTAGCAGTTTCAAGCCTCTTGCCTCCCTGCTGGGAATCAAGCCGAGCCAGAAGAATGGCAGAGCAGCTTCAGGTGCCACTTCTCCAGGTCGAGATGGCGAGCAGAGGAGCGGTTTCTCCCGGGGTTGCCTAGGACCAGTGCGTCTCCCCTAGGGTCAGCTGGACATCAGGAAACCGGGTCCCTCTCTGTCCCGAGCAGAGATTTTTCTTTTCTCCAGCGACAGGGACAATGTCTTGAGCAGTTTCGGCCACTCTTTCTTTTTTTCCCCCTAGACTCACCGTGGCTCCCAGCAAAGGAGGATCTCCCCTTCCCTCTGTGTCTCCAGTCCCGGCCTGATTTTATCTTCCCCAGTTCACACTCACACTATTAGGTTTTCTCAGTGGACTCTGTCTCCTTTTCCTCCCAAACTCCTGGATTCTGTAAGGGTTCCTATGGCTTCAGGCCTTCTCCATTTGAGAAATGGGGGCGAGTGAAATATACTGAGCTCCCTACTTCTCCGCTATCTTGCCTTCTCCCTCCTCAACAAATCATTCTTGGTTGATAGTGATTAAGCATCTAGCATCTAGTCCCACCTTTTTCTCCAACTTCATTTCTCACTATTCTCTCCAATATACCATCCATTCCAGCCAGGCAGATTTCTTCACTTTCCCTTCGTGTATACCAAGCTCTTAGAATATTTCTACTTCCTCTATAAGAGAGAAAAAAATGGCCTATTCTTTGAAATTAGGTTCTAATTTCATTTCTTTCATGGAAAATTCTCCAGCATCCACCCCATGACTCTTTGTTTGCCTGGCATTTAAAAATAATTTTTTGTTTTAATTTTGAGAGAGAGGGAGACAGAGAGAGAGAGAGAGAGAGAGAGAGAAAGAGAGCACCAGTGGAGGAGGGGCAGAGAGAGAGGGAGACAGATCATCTGGAGCAGGCTCTGTAATGTCTGTAATGACAACAAAAGCCTGATGTGGGGCTCAAACCTACAAACCGTGAGATCATGACCTGAGCCAAAGTCAGATGTTCAACGGACTGACTCACCCAGGCACCCCTACCTAGTGTTTTTAAAACCACTGACAAAGTTTAGCACTTTAGGATATGTTGTCTGGAACTCTACACTAATTGTTTCATTTGATTTGGCTTGAGTTCTTCAACTTAAAGGAAGGATAAATGCCTTCTACTGCTTTTGGATTTTTATATCAGTATTCCTGAGTAAGACTGGCCTATATAGTTTTCCTTTTTTGTACTTTGTCTGGTTTTGGTATTAAGATCATAGTGTTCTTAGGGCATTTAGGTGGCTCAGTCAGTTAAGTGTCTGACTCTTGATTTTGGCTCAGGTCATGATCTCAGGGTTATGAGATGGAGCCCTGCTTTGGGCTCCACGCTGGGCTCCACCCTGGGCATGGAGCCTCCTTTCTTTCCCTCTCTCTCTCAAAAAAGTAGATCTTAGTGTTCTCATAGAATGAATTGGAGCTATTTCAGTAAGAGTGGAATGATATCTGCATCAAAATTTTGGTGTTTTGCCAATAATAGTATTAGGCATTAGGAGGCCTGGTGAGTGAGTGTGTGTGTATGTGTGTGAGAGAGAGAGAGAGAGAGAGAGAGAGAGGCTTTTAAACGGATTAAATTTGTTTAGTCAATGCCTATAGAGCTATTAAAGTTTCCATTTCTTGGTTAATCAATTTGGGAAATTATATTTTCTATGATTCTATGATTGCGTCCATTTAGTACACACTTTAAATATAATGACATGAAGTTATTTACATTACTTTTATTATATATTTATTTATTATATTTATTATATATTTATTATATATAAATTATTATAATATATAAATATTATATATTATATTATATTTATATATTATATATAATATATAAATTTATTATATATAAAATATTAAAAAATTATTATATATAAAATATATAAATTATATATTTATTTATTTATTATATTTATTATATTATATATTATATATTATATATTATAAATATATATTTATTTATATATTTATTATAAATATAATATAATATATATTTAACTATATATAATTTATATTGGCCTATCTGTCCCTACTACTTCTGTAGTTATGCCTTCCTTTTTATTCCTTATATAAGTATTTATGATGTCTCTTCTTTTTCGATAAATTTCACTAAAGACTAGTCTATTTTACTTATCTTTAAGAACCAACTTGGGCTTTGTTATTTTTCTCTCTTGTTACCTTTTTTTTCTATTTTATTACTTTCTGTCTCATTTGTATGCCCTTCCGTTTACATATTTGGGTTTATTCTATTATTTTTGTAACTTAAATTGAATATTATTTCATTGATTTTCAGCCTCCCTTCTTTTATAATGTAAATAAGTAAAGCTACACATTTTTCTCAAAGTGATGTTTTTGCTGCATCTCATATTTTTTATTTTGTAGAATTTTCTTTACCATTCATTTATAAAAATAGTTCTACATTCATTATGGTTTTTTTATAGACATTTGAGTTTGGAAGTATGTTTTAAATTTTCTAATGCAGGAACAAATAGTGTTGTACTTAGAGCTTTTGTATTTTTGCCAATTTACCTTTGGGATGGACTTTGAGAAGTTTGAATCTTGGGTCAAAAGGTTAATGGCAATGCAATTTTGCTGTACACTGCCAAATTCCTATTCATGAGAGTTGAACCTTGCTTTCCTAGCAACAATGTGTGAGAGTACCTGCTTCCACACAGACTAACATAGTATATTGTGAAACTTTTAAAAAATATTTTATTATTTTTGAGAGAGAGAGAGCATGAGAGGGGGAAGGGTAGAGAGAGTCGGAGACACAGAATCCAAAACAGGTTCCAGGCTCTGAACTGTCAGCACGGAACCTGACGTGGGGTTCAAACCCATGAACTGTGAGATCATGACCTGAGCCAAAGTTGGATGCTTAACTGACTGGGCCATCCAGGCACCCCAATTGTGAAACTATTTAATTTTTGTGACTGATAGATGAGTTGTAGTATCTCAATGTCATTTTTTTTTCAAATTTCTCTTTATTGAATAAGTTTAAAAACTGTTTATCTATGTATGTATATATGTCTACATGGGGTTGTTGGTAGTCTTTTATTCTCTACTTTAAAAGCCCATTATACATTAAGGATATTAAACCCTTTGTAGTGTAAGATGCAAATATTTTTAATTTTTTTTACTGTTTTATTAATTATTAATTTTTGAGAGAGAGAGAGAGAGAGGCAAAGCATGAAAGGGGAGGGGCAGAGAGAGAGGGAGACACAGAGCAGCTCCAAGCTCTGAGCTGTCGGCACAGAGCTGGATGCAGGGCTCAAACTCACAAACTGGGAGATCATGACCTGAGCTGAAGTCGGACACATAACTGACTAAGCCAACCCGATGCCCCAAGATGCAAATGTTTTTCCTCAGTTTGTCACTTGTTTTTACTTTGTTTATTGTATTTTTACTTGGTTGTATTGTACTGTATTGACACAAGTTATGCAAAAGTTTTCTATTTTTATATTATCAAAGTTGTTTATATTTTTTTCAGGGATTCCTCTAACACTTAAAAATGGTTGTAATCATCCTTTGCAGTCATCTGTACTACATTGACAGGGATATTATTTCCCATTTTTTATGATTATTCGCTTATCTTTCTTTGTTTCAGATAATGCTGAGGAACCCCGTGGATGTCTCAGGAAGGCTTATGACTTATTCTGCGGTTTGCAGAAGAAAAGCCCAAAGATGAGCAAAGAGGAGGAAGAAGCCCAGAAAAAGAAGCTGACAGACACATCTGAGAAGCCTTTATGGAGAGCTATAGTGAATGTCAATGCCATTCTTCTCCTTGCAGTGGCTGTCTTTGTCCACGGCTATTTTGCCTGAACTCTATCTGAGCCACTAAATATTTATTAAGCAAAGGATAATTTTATTGATTTTTTCACTTTTAGAGTTTATTGTGTTTCAGATGGGAGATAATTTCAAAAAGGAGGAAGGAGTTGGTAATTTTATCATATGAGATGACTAGATTATAGACCTGAGTTTTAGTTTTTATTGTTCTCTTGTGTCAATAAAAAAAGTTAATAATTTAGAAAGCCAGGGAGCTGACTCTATATTTTTGTGTAAACTAGAAGCATTGGGTCTAAATGTTTTTATAGCTCACCAAGTAGATTTCCCTACCTTACACTTGCTTTCTATTTCTAGAGATTTCCACTTAGAATAAATTCCTCTCCCGAATCTGCCTCACATAGTAACTTCCTCATCTATACCACAGTGACCTTTTCCTCTCACCTTCACTTTACTGACCTCAAGGAAAATAGGAATATTTACTAAGAGTTGAGGGGAAGTGAGCTAGAAATGTCTGTTGTAAATACTTTTATGAATTTACTGGAAATTATTAGCTTATGTCTTAAATAAAACCATCCCACTAAATGTTAGCATATTAAGCCACTGATTTCTTAAACTACTTTATAAGAATATAATTCACCTAAAAATATAATGCACCTACTTACACTGTACAATTCAGTGTATTTTAGAATATTCACAGAGTTATTCAACAATTACCATAATCTAATTTTACATATTAACATTAATTTATTTATTGGCATTGTTACTTGGATATATACATTTCTCTATCTTTATTTCCGTGTTATTTTGACATTCTGAAGGACAGTTATCTCTTTGTAGGATTATATGTAGTTTTAAAATACAGAACATTAAAATGCTTTTTAAAAACTGCATAGTAGGGGCTCCTTGGTGGCTCAGTCGGTTGAGCGTCCCACTTCAGCTCAGCTCATGATCTCATGGTTCGTGGGTTTGAGCCCTGTGTCAGGCTCTGTGCTGACAACTGAGAGCCTGGAGCCTGTCTTTGGATTCTGTGTCCCCCTCTCTCTCTGACCCTCCCCTGCTCACACTGCCTCTCTCTCTCTCAAAAATAAATAAAAATACATTGGAAAAATTTTTAATAAAAAATAAAAATAAAAACCGCATAATAAACATCTATCATATTGTTACAAAATTCAAACAATGCTCTGTGTTCTATAGGAACTAAATGTAATATTCTCCACTGATAATCTATCAATCCCATCTACTTCCCACTAACTTTACATAAGAAAAGCTGTTAATTGTTTAAAACATATGTTAAAGTAATTTTTGTATTTGTACACATATTTTTACACAATGCAGTCCTACTCTATATGTTGTACTCTGACTGGCTTTGTCATATAAAATTTATCTTGGAGATCTTTGCCTGTTAATGCATATGGGTAACCCTCCTTTTTTTTTTTTTAAATTTTTTTTAATGTTTTATTTATTTCTAGGAGAGAGACAGAGAGACAGCGCGAGCAGGGGAGGGTCAGAGAGAGAGGGAGTCACAGACTGAAACAGGCTCCAGGCTCTGAGCTGGCAGTCAGCACAGAGCCCGACGCGGGGCTCGAACCCACGAACCGCGAGATCATGACCTAAGCGAAAGTCGGATGCTTAACCGACTAAGCCACCCAGGCGCCCCGGTAACCCTCCTTTTTAATAGCTGCACTTTATTCCATGAAATCATTTGCCACAATTTGACCATTTTTCTACTGAAAAACATTCATGTTGTTTTCAATTATTTGCTATTATCAGTGATACTCTACCACATGTACCTGTATATTAATCTTTTGGCACATTAACAGTTTTGTTTTCTTTAATGATTGATTCTTAAGAAAGGAATACTGGAACAAGGAGTGTGAACATTTAATAATTTGATAAATATTTAAAAGTTATGTTCCAAAGGATTCACCAATTTATATTCTCACCATCAGTGTATGAAAGTTCCTACTTACTTAATTAGAGTATATTATCAATCTTAATTCATTTTTGTCAATTTGATGATTGAAAAATAATTTAATTTTTAAAATTGTGTTTCTCAACTTAGTGAGATTGTACATATTCACATATATTTATTAGCTATTTGTATTTTTTCTTCTGTGAATTTCTTGATATATTTACCAATTTTCTAATTCATTTATAGATATTCTTTAGTCTATATATTTATTATTTGCATATGAATTGCAATTTTTTTCTTGAAGTCTTGCCTTTTAATCTTATATTGCCCTTGAGTGTACAGAAGCTTTAATTTTTATTTGGTCAGGTATATTCATCTTTTCCTTACAGCTTCTGGGTTTTGTGGCTTACTCTCAGTGGCTTACTTTGTCCTTTAGGAAGTTTGTTGTCACTGTTTTGTTTTGTTATGCTTTAAAGAAGGTTCTCACACCCTCCATTATTTTGCAATTTACTTTTCTCTCTTTATAAATGTAGTGGACTTAATTAAGCCCAACTAATGTAAATCATTTTAATTCATTTCAATTTCTGCCTAATAACATAACATTAAATACATTCAATTTCTTTAACAATGTCCTCTTTGGGTTGATATTTTAAATATTCTAAATATCTTTTTCCAACACAAATAATGTTGGAGTAATTACCATATACATACATCCCCACTGATGGTTTTATAAGAGAATCCTCAAAGTAGTATAATTGAGTAATTGATATATTTATTTATGTTTTTAATAGATATTGGCAAATAACTTTCAAGTTTTTGAAGCGATTCACATTCCTATCAACAAAAGGGAATGAGTAGGCTAAGTAGCACAAGAAGTTGTTGCTTTTTGAAAAATTGCTGATCAGTCTGGTTGGTAAAAAAAATCTTCTAGGAGCTCTAATTAATCATCTATTTTCACTTTAGTGAGTTGCCTATTTATAACATTTTTCTGGCTTTCTATCTGGTGGTTTATGATGGGAAACATTCTAAAGCAAAACAGGAAACTTAGAAACCACAAGAGATGAAAATATATATTTAACTAAACAAATCATTGAATTTTTTATATCATAATACAGTCCAAACAGAAGTTAAAATATGGAGCCAAAAAGATACTGCAACACAAGAAAAAGAAAGAGCCCCCATAAATAAATGAGGAAACAGCAAACAAGCCTGATTGTGGCACTGTATCTAGAAGGAAAGATACAGCGTTGGGCTTCTTGTAATTCTTGTAGTCTAGAAAGCAGTCTAGAATGGTCAATATGCACATTTCCAAGGAAGCTATTTTCACAAATTATTCCAAGAGATTTACTCCTTTGGTGCATGCTGTTTGTTTATCCTTGATTTAAATGGAGCACTTCTAATGTGAAGCCGGTAAGAATTATTTAGGTTTATAAAATTGTATCTTAGTATGTTAAGGAAGTTCTTTTCAATTTCTAATATACTGAGGTTATTTTATTTTTATTTTTTTTGTACTTGAGAAAGCTCCAACATATGTTTTCTTAATAACCTTCCGTGACTGACAAAAAGAATAATTTGTGAGGTAAAAAGTATCCATGTAGACACACAAATAGTAGTTTAACTCACCCATCAGAGATACTTCTGTAGTTTTACCATAAAATAAGTTACATACATAAAATATCCAAGGTTTGTACAAAAATATCCAACATTACCAAGGCTGTACAATAAAGTCCATTTTCTGCCTCAGATCCCATCCCTGGTTTCCGCATCAGAGATAATCACTATTTTTAGTATCTTATATTAGCATGGAGTATTTCTAATTATATATAAATATTCACATACCACCTTTTATACAAATTAAAACATTTTATATACACTTCTACTTTCCTTTTCATTTATTTTTTTAATAGTTTATTGTCAGGTTGGTTTCCATATAATACCCAGTGCTCATCCCCACAAGTGCCCTTCTCCATGCCCGTACCACCCGTCCCCTCCCCCCACACACATCAGCCCTCAGTTTGTTGTAGGCATTCAAGAGTCTCTCATGGTTTGCCTCTCTCCCTCTCCTCAACTATTTTTCCCCTTCTTCTTCACCCATGGTCCTCCGTTAAGTTCCTCCTATTCCTTCTATATGTGCAAACATACGGTATCTGTCCTTCTCTGCCTGACTTATTTCGATAAGCATAAGACCCTCAAGGTCCATCCATGTTGCTACACATGGCCAGATTTCATTCTTTCTCATTGCCATATAGTATTCCGTTGTATAGATAAACCACATCTTCTTGATCCATTCGTCCGTTGATGGACACTTAGGCTCTTTCCATGTTTTGGCTATTGTGGAAGGTGCTGCTATGAACATTGGGGTCCATGTGCCCCTATGCATCAGCACTCCTGTATCCCTTGGGTAAATTCCTAGCAGTGCTATTGCTGGGTCATAGGGGAGTTCTATTGTTAGTTTCCTGAGGAACCTCCACACTGTTTTCCAGAGGGGCTGTACCTGTTTACATTCCCACCAACAGTGTAGGAGGGTGCCCGTTTCTCCACATCCTCGCCAGCATCTAGAGTTCTCTGATTTGCTCATTTTAGCCACTCTGACTGGCGTGAGGTGGTATCTCAGTGTGGTTTTGATTTGTATTTCCCTGATGAGGAGGGATGCTGAGCATCGTTTCATGTGTCTGTTGGCCATCTGGATGTCTTCTTTGGAGAAGTGTCTGTTCATATCTTCTGCCCATTTCTTCACTGAGTTGTTTGTTTCTCGGGCGTGGAGTTTGGTGAGTTCCTTATAGATTTTGGATATTAACCTTTTATCTGATATGTCATTTGCAACTATCTTTTCCCATTCCGTTGGTTGCCTATTAGTTTTGTGGGTTGTTTCCTTTGCCGTGCAGAAGCTTTTAATCTTGATTTGGTCCCAATCGTTTATTTTTGCTCTTGATTCCCTTGCTTTGGGGGAAGTGTCTAGTAAGAAAATACTGTGTTTGAGGTCAAGGAGGTTGTTTCCTGGTTTCTCCTCTAGGATGTTGATAGTTTCCTGTCTCACGTTCAGATCCTTTATGCATTGTGAGTTTATTTTTGTGTATGGTGTGAGAAAATGATCTAGTTTCATTCTTCTGCATGTTGCTGTCCA